AACTTAAGTTGGGCCTTGGACTTACACAATCTACAAAGGCGAATCATGCTCTTCCTCCTTAGGTGCTTTTTTCATCTTATTTGGTTTGATTGCCAGCCCGAGTTCCTATCCGCAGTTCCAGTAATTTGATTATCACCGTGTCGTAAATGCGACGACCTTATAAGGTAAATTGAAGCTTGGGCCGCCACACACTCAAATTCAATTTTACAAGCTTCTAGTCGGATGCAATCACAAGACCTTATGGGGAGAGGAACAGCGTTAAACGAGTCTAATTGAATCCAAATCTGTCTGCAAATAAATACTTACGTAGCTTTGTGAGAGAATTTAATGGGTGATTGGCGCCAATCATTGATAATTGGTAAAGCCCTAGGCTGCCTCTCACTCTTCGACATTTTGACCAGACTTGCATAAGCATTCCCTTAAGGTGTCAACGATGTCAGAGATTTCATAGATTGCATCGCACGGAATGCTGGGAAATTATTACGTATACGAGTATGAACTTTTCACGGACGTACCCCGTACACCGGACCCTTGCGGAAGCTTCTTCTCACATTTTCGCACGTACTCGCAGACAGATCCAGTGGCAGATTTCGATAAGTCATTGGGCTATAATTTGCGACCAACTACCGACGTAAAATTTTTGTCTATACAATTAGGCAAAAACATAAAGAAACATTCACAAAACCAACGGCAAGTGCAGCAGCAAAAAAGTAAAAAAACAAAAACCTAAAAATAAAGTTGACATTTCACACAGCGGCAGCAGGTCGTCTGTTGCAAGCAGCCGTGGCACCATGTGCCAAGTTATGACATCACTTCAATGCATCACTTCTGGGCTCGGGCCATGGCAACCTACAAGCACAACATACATACATTTCCATGTACATATGTACAATGTACATGCAGCATACAGCAGCCTGCAGCCTGCAGTCACACATGACGGGGCACGAGTACGCGCAGATGATATCGATCTCTCGCCATCATTTGTTTTTGGCCAGTCTAATAGTGTGGGGCCTGAGAGAGAGGACCATCCCCCCCTCAAGGCAGCCGTCCAATTATGCTTGGCAGCCCTTATCTTAAGTGGGACCCTTGTGGTGCCATTTTTCTTTTAATGTGATGTAATGAGACAGACACTCTGTGTAGTTAGCTCTACAGATATATTTATGGGGATCCATCCTTTTCTCTGTAGGCCCAAAATGCATTCCAGACCTCAAATCCTGCCGCACAACTCACGGAGAAAACTTTCTTCTCGTGCACGGGTCGTCCGGCTGGCTACTACGCGGACGTGGAGTCGGGCTGCCAGGTGTACCACATGTGCGATGGCCTGGGCCGCCAGTTCAGCTACACGTGCCCCAACACGACGCTCTTCCAGCAGCGCATGCTCATCTGCGATCACTGGTACATGGTGAACTGCTCCAAGGCGGAGAGCAACTATGCCGCCAATCTGCTAATTGGTTAGTGCTCCAACGATCTGTCCCTCTCTACCGATAATCCCATTGAAAACTCTTCACAGGTCAGCGCGACAAGCCCTTTGTGAACGATGAGGAGAATAGTCTGAGAACGCCACGACCCGACCTGCTGGACCGTCCCTATGCACCTGACTATTCGGGCGAGTCCTTTAGAAGTCAATACAAGGTAAGTTCAGTTAGTCTTCAAGAAGGAGCTCCTAATATTATGTATCCTTTGCCTTGACAGCAACTAACTCCCAATCGAAACCAAATCCGCGATGAATCTCTCAAGGGTGCCAATGGCGGAGCTGGAAAGTATGATCCACAAATTTCGACACAGACGCGCTGGCGCATTCCTCCGCCCAGTCGTACCATTCAGCCCCCGGCCTACGAGCCACAGATCGAGCTGCCAAGCAGCACAGCGAAGCCAAGGATCACCACCACCACCAGTCGAGCCCCCACCACCAGTCGTCCCATCACCACCAGTCGAGCCACCACCAGGACAACAACCACAACTCGTAGACCTGCCATTGTGAGCGTGGCCACAAAACGCACAGAGGCACTGCACACGCGCAGGCCGGCTGTCCTGGCAGTGGAGCAGGACATGGAGGATCTGGGAACCAGTCACAGCACACGGTACAACACCTCCGCGGACTTTAACTCGGTGGAGGGCCCACTGAGGACCACAAAGAACACCAGCACGAAGCTGGTGAAGTTCGTAAAGCCGCCATCGAAGATCTACGAGCCGCCGTTCCTTTACCCCATTTACAACCAGGACGACGAGACAAGGCAACCAGCTGCCAGTGGACCGGACCGCATCCTTCGCACCTCCACAGCAGCACCATTCAGTCCGAGTGTCAGTCGGATACACATCAGCGAGACCACCACCACTGCGCGTCCCCAGAGTCGGCCCACAACCTTGGCGGGTTCGCCCTTCTCCTTTGCCTCGCCACCCACGACGACGAGCACGCCAGCAGCTCCTCCAAGGAACGAGAACCGAACGCCGGCACCAGCACAGAGTTTCCGCCTGGCAACTGCCAAATCCGTGCCCACCACAGCACCGCCAGCACAACAGAAGCTACAGCTCCCGTTCAATGATCTGTTGCCACCATTTGTGGAGTTTGTGGCCCATGACATAGCCACCACGCAGGGACCGCCCATCTACTACGAGTGGAAGGTGCCCTCGAATGGCTTGGAACCCCCAAAGCTGGATCCTCCAATCGGTGTAGATGGACGTGAGTATCCCGAGACCACTGGCGACTATGGCGTCGTCAAGGGCAAGACGGACATATTCAACACCAGGCTAAACGACATTGCCAGCCATCCGCAGAAGCCAGCAGGTCCAGTTCAGGTCCAGGTGCCGGTGCAGCAATCGAGCACCAGCAGACGCTTGCCCACCTCAAGGTCGATCAAGACCACGGAGAAGTACGAACAGGCACAGCGTCGCTCGGATGTGGTGGGAAGTTCCACGGATATAACAACGCTACGAAAGCAGCTGCTCATTCCGGAGTACGCCTTTCCCCTGGAGACGATCGGTCGGACGGGCTACGGTCCTGGCGCCGGTCTCGGTGTCGGTGTCGGTGCCAGTTCCAGCTCCAGCACCGGAGACGTGTACAATTCCTTTCAGTTAAAGATCCCCGAGCATCGCAGCGGATCGGGCAGCAGTTCCATCAAGTGGTTCGGCGAGAATCCCAAGTGTCCGGAGTGCCATCCATCGTTCGTCCTGCCGGGCACCTGCGAGCCATGTCTGAGGAGATAGTCCAGCTCTACATAGGTTCCCACCTATCCATTAACCGCATTCCATTATCCGCATCCGCATCTACATCTGCATCTGCATCTGCTCCTAGGTCCTAGTATTAGCCCTTGCTGCCCCAGAGCGAGCCAGAGAGAAGCATCTTCCACGCATTTAAATGTTAAAGTTATTGTACATCAGCAGTAAAGACAATGAATTATTGTTTAATAATTAAAGTTACGAAAATTATATTGTGAGTCCTGTGTTTACTTATTTCAAAACTCAAGTCAGTCAAGCAGGCTATGGATCAGAAAGAAATGTAATGAGCTGTCTGACTAAATGGATTTTCAAAATTTATTGCCGTGTTTTTCGGGTTCTTCCAGACATGGGTGATAGGTCGAGTAAAAACGGAGTCTTTGGTCTATTGAGTCCGTCGATAGCTAAACTTGGCGACGAGGATAACTATTGGACTTGGCGCATACTCATAAGATCTTATCTTGAAGCCTTGGGACTGTGGGCCGGAAATTTTCCAAAGGAGGTAAAAAGTTGATAATTTTTCCACCCTTTGTAGGAACGTTACAATAAATATTTTTACTTGTTGCAGGGCCCGCAAACTAAATTCATCTTGCTGAGCACACTTGAAATGTGGATATTTAAACGAGAATATGAGAATTTAAGTTGTAAGCAAATTTTTCAAGACCTCGAGGAGCGTTTTAGTGTTGCTCGACCAAAACTTTCCAACATGAATTTAACCAACTAAAAAAGAAATTAAATTAAATTATGGAATAGCTCTTTTCTCGATCAGACTACTCCTCCTGGTATTTTGAAACATAATTGTAATTGAACTATTTTGAACTCAAAATTCAAACATTTAATTTAAAAAAAAAACGCCGATAATTCTTCTTATTAAAGCTACCGATAGCACTGCATCCAATATGCGTGTATGACACTAGACTGATCCACCTCTCTTATCTACATACATATAACAGATATTTTTCTATGGAAAAATATGAAGGCAAAACGAGAGACTATGCCTTATTTATTAAGCAACTCAATGGAACGGGGTCCCATCAATAATCCCATATTGCATAGAATTAATTCAGGAATCGAATAACAATATTTGTTAAATGATGAGGATCCTAGCCGCTTAGTAATAATAAACAGAATACAAAATTTATAGAAATAGGGTATTCAAGAACTGCGGTTATGTATTGTCAAATACATAACATTCCTCCCACTAACGTATCGTTTCGCTAAGCAAACGATAGATTTGGTTTCCATGCACCAATTATTATTGGTTTGTTGTCATCCAATAATGTCATCCATTATTGTCATCCAAGCTCCACACACTCCTCCTGCTTTCATAAAAATGTTGAATTTTTAACGGGTTTCATTTTGTAAACAAACACAAAACAGTGTACCCAGAGAGCATGCAATTTGGTATACTTTAGTCACACTGGGCACAGCGCGAAATATATGGCACTTTCTGTGGCAAGAATATTCTGAGTATTGGTTTGGATTTGACTGATTTTTGACACAATCTAATAAAAGGAAATCATGAAAACTAGCCAATCTTATCCAAAATTGATTAATGAATTGGATACAATTTTAGTTTTAGCGCTGAAAATCCTAACTAGCTCGTAACAAGAAGCAGAATATCAAAGATTAGGAAAATGTTATTGGGTAGACGGTAGTATACCTCCGGTATATTTTTAAAACGAGAAGGTATATTTGGGTATATTTTTGAGTCTCAGCCGGTATACTTTATCGATATCTCGTTATCGCATTGCTCACATCACCCCTCAAAATAAAAAACAACAACATCGCAAAATAAAGCAAACCGCTGGAAATAAATCAAAGAAATTAAAATATACTCGGATTACACACGATCAAATATTGATACGTGTACGCCTTTTGCGGAGCGAGATTTTGCAGCTAGATCCGGAGCATTTCGTTATACCAGAGCGAGAAAAATGACACGTAAGTGCGCAGCATTGGCCATCCATCTTGTGGATTTTTGTCCATTCCACATGAGTATTAAAATAAATCTGGCCTGGATGCGGACGCGGAACCCATGAAATGTAGATCCAGGTGTGCCACAGGTCCAGCTGTAAGCATTTGGATACACCAGAAGCAACTAGTAGGGGTCTTGGTCGTTCCTTCCACCTAGAGAGTGTAAAATCGATGGATGGTTTTAGGACATGCGACAGCGTGTGCGCCTCTAACCTCTTTGCCAGCGTGATTAGATCATTTAGCACGCGCAACTAAGCAAATGGCACGGCTTAAAATATTAACCGATCGCCTACTTTCACAGGGGGAAACCAAAGGGACTTGGCGCGCCAGAAGGCGCAAAAGAAACTCTCCGAACAGACCAAGGGAAAACGCACCGATAATCTCACCGTGGAGCAGCGCAAGGCTAGGTCAGTATCAAGTAAAGTTTAAGTTGTAAGTACTACGAGCATAATGATGATCATTAATATTTCAGGGATGCTGAGGTGATGCGGGAGAAGCAGAAGAAAAAGGAAGATGCTGCAGCAGCTGGGACAAGTAAATAGAGGCCAGCCAACAGACAACTCCATCAGGTAGACAGATGCAGGCGTGGGTCACACACAAATTTGTTAGTGGATAGTCAGTCGTTGCGTTCCAGGGACCTGGGATCTGGAACAGTCAACGCCATTCTACATGAGAGTAATATAATGAGAATTTTATACATTTCAACGCTACAACTATGCATAGATATTACCGAGCTGTAGCTGTACCGAGCAATATTTAAGCCCAGCCCACAACCCACAGGTCACACCACACAAACGGTCTCAATGGATTTCGATTTCAATACCGCCATGGTTTTCGTTCCCTTTTTCCTTTTCGCAGTGTCCGGCTGAAACATAATTAAGCAAAACTGTTTATTTCTCAACATACCTGATTAAAAATTACTTACTCTAATGTATATATAAATTTTCAAAATAAAATATAATATGCAGCCAAAAAGCGTAGAACTAAACAGTGTCCATGTCTAGCTATATATTATGTATATGTATAAATTATGACTTAAAGACACGCAGACAAGGAAGAGAGAGATAAAGAATGAGCGCCCTGTGGGACTGGAAAGGCTTAGGCGCAGCAAACTGTCTGCAGGAATAACGCAATTACTACGAGTATACTTGAAAATGTAAATCGAATGTCAAATCCCTACAACTATGACTATTAATAGGTTAAGCGGAAGCTGCGAAAGAGGTCCTGCCAGCTACCAGTTGATTCACCCAATTAAATTTTATTTGAAGCCTTAACAAGCATCCTCCACTCCCGTCAAAGCTGACGCGAAATTTGCATACAATAGAATACAGATAGAAGATCCAGCCGAAAGCAAACAAAGGGAACGAAACCAGCTTAGTTGTGGACGGATTTGATAAATATGAAAGTAGCGGAATGGCCTACAAAACTCTCGCCAAACGGCTGTCGATCGTTGAACGAGCCCAACAGAAAATAAGTTGAATGCCAGCATTTACCATTTTAAGGCAAAATGTCCAAAAACTTGGCGACTAACGGCCAACAACTGGCAGTGGCTAAGCAACTAACCAAAAATGGCACTAGGAGACATGGCGTGCTGGCACATCATATCTAAGGCGCGCATCTTGAACAGGGGGCTCCATGGAGTACGCGGATGTTGGGCCGTAGTCGGGGTCGGTGTCGGGGTCCAGCCCAAGTAATGAGATCGGAGAATGAGCGGAGCAAGTTTTAATGATTTGTTTGCTTAGGATAGTGCAAAGCGCTGTAGCCGAACCGTGTCCATTGTTTGTCCATGTGGTGTTTGATAACTCTATGCCGGAACAATCTGAAAAACTGGTTCTCCCTCAGGGAAAGCTTTCTCCCGAAAGCTTGTCGCTGCCGTACGTAAACTTGGAACAACGTCTTAGTTTAAGAACTTTACTTTGCTGCCACTAAGAGAAAGAAACAGCAGAAACGCTAACAGTAGATGAGAGCAAAAATCGCGATCGAATCGCTGTGGCTGCGCTGTTTCTGCCGCTGCCAACGCTGGCGCTCTCTAGCGACGAAGACTCTCGCGTTCAGCAGCGCGTTTTCAGTCGCTACGTGAAACTCGCCGCACACACAACGGAAACGCGCGCAAATCGAATTGAAATCGCGTCAAAACTTTCTGTAGAATATATCAAGACATCCACTTTATATACACATATCATACGAGCACTAATCAATTGCAAGGCCATAAAGAGTCGATTGGTTCCAAAGACCTATTGTAACCCTCCCATTCAGCAAAAGTAGAAAGTGTAAGTGAATTTGGTTTATATTTGGCGATCGATCGCTGGCGGGCCACTTGCCAAACCAAATGCCAATTCCTGACATTATCAGCGGAAAAAGTGCAGCCAATTGGCGGAGCGATCTCAATCGAATGCAAATCAAGTGATAAACGATCGTTTCGAAATTAAAATAACAGGCGAGCAGCTCCCCAACGGAGGTGGATATGTGCAGTAGGAACGGAACCCAACCCCCAGCCACAGTAGCCACAGACCTAGAGAGCCAGAGCCAGAGCCAGTCCCAGTCCCAGCTGGCGACTTGATTGCTCGTCTGCCTTGGCTCTGTGTGTGTTTTCTTTATTGTTGTTGTTGTTGTTTTATTTTTTATACAAAACATATTCAATTTCATTTAGCTGCCGCGCTGCCAGCAATTTCAATATTCAAATGATCGCCACTGAACTTCAGACAGAGTCTGATCTGGCGTCTGGCGCGCTGCTAAATGATTTTTTCTGAGCGCCTGCAAACACAAATTATGACAAATGCGCTAAAAACACACACTCTACATCCCAAAAATATAGAAAAACCAAACAGAAATGATAAAAACAAAAATTATTAAATGCCACTGTTTGTCTTGACTTCTGATCGTCGATCGCAAATCTCTGATCCCGTCTGACCCCAATGCCATATGAGCAGAGGCAGAAACCGTTTGTTTGCTTTGATTATTGTTTTTGCAAATTGCGATCTATATAGACACAGCACAGCTAAACGTACATATATAAGGAGCTGCTGCTGCTGCTGCTGCTGCTGCTGCTGCTGATGTGAATGCAATGCATGATGTCAGCAAAAGCAAGATGACATTGAAATCGTTTGCGTACTGACATATCCCACCTTTTTGGTGGGATATTCAGACAGAGAGAGAGAGAGAGAGAGGTAAACAAGTCAGCAGTAGAACAGGTTGAAATAAAGGATATGTAGGTCAATAAGAAGTTCACTTCCATTCGTAGGCGGAGGCGCATACGTTTTTTACGCTCTCTAAATGTTAATTGAATCTCGTTTGGCTATGTATTCCAGACATTTGCGATCCATAAAACGCACATTCAAGCTGAAAATGAACGGTGAGGCGGTGAATATTAAGTCGGCACTCCCATTGATACACAATTATTAAAGGAAATGATCAAATTGTGAGATCTACCCCGCGCAAGCCACCGCTCAGCAAAGTTCAGTGACGCGCATCACCATTAGGAATTAAAAAATAAATGAAAAATTAACAAGATAGAGGAAAGAACAATGTGAAGGTTACAAAATACACAAGGCAACAGATAAAACAGCGACGAAAATATATGACAACAACAAAAAACAGACACACAAAAACACATTCTAGCTGAATACATAGGAATGGCAGAATGGCAGAATGGCAGAAGGCGTTCGCACACCTACGCTGCCACAGTGGCGGCAAATAGTTAATGCCAGATGCCAGATTGATGGAGGAGCTGGAGGAGGCCTACTACTTGACCACAACATCTGTGCTCATTGATCGGGTATTCGCAATACGAGAATTTCCATTACAAAAGTTCTGAGGTAGCTGCTGTCTGTCGGGCGACTAAAAGCATTTTATGGGTCCGTTGTTTTTTCTAGATCTCCCAGTTGAATGCTCGCGACCTTGTGGCGCTATTTATAAGCATTTTCGTGTATTTATTTTCTATGTTCTCCTCTCATAAATGAATCATTTTGATGTGGGAGCGAAAACTTTCGCTTTGGGTTTGGAATGATCCTCTAGAATTGCTTTTTTGAACGCGTTCAATGTCGCCGCTGCCTCCCTGACCATGAAGAACATTGACAGAATGGAGACAAGTATCTCGTGGCTGCATGCAAAGTGTCGGTGCAGGAGCAGGGGCACTGGCAGTGCGTGCCGCACCATAAAGGCGCCGCCGCGTAATTGCAAAATCATGAATTGAAACTGAAAGCCCCGCCGGCAAAGGCCACTTCAAAGGCTGCTGCAAATGCAATTGAGTTCTGCAGCTGCAATGGGCTGTAATTGATTTATATGGCGAAGTCGAGTGATCGAATACTGAAAGCTGAAAGCGAGAAACCGTCGGCCAAATTCGATATGACAAAATGCTAAGACAAAGCCCGCTCCAGCAAAATAAATAAAACGCCAAATAAACGCCGCGTGCTTGGGACTTGTCAAATTTGGTAGAACGATTTTTGACCGGTTTGGAACCCGACTTGGCCACTCATCGGAGCAGCCAGCTCCCACTTATGCTTTCAGCCTGCCATAGATTGAGCAATTTGCAGCCACATCGTGGCTCAATTGCAGATCCAGATGCTCGAGCTCCAGTGTCTTTTGTGTCTGGGCGCAAAGAGTAGCGCGGAAGAATGTCAAACTTAATTACGCGTTGAAGCGCAAACTAATTGGTGGATTGGATAGCGGGCTGGGTGGTGTGTGGAGGCGTAGAAGGGGTCACAAAAGTTTGGCCGCCGCGATAAAGCGAACAAAAGAGTTGGGAATAATTGGCGTCGGCTTCGCTGGCGGCAATACCAGATACCAGATAAATGCCAAAAACAATCAAGTATCCGGCAGATACAAAAGCCAGACCATAATCCCTGGACACGCGCTCACTGAACACGAAAATTACAAAAGCCGATCGAGCTGTTGTTGATTTAAACAATTTTCCCTGTCCATACACAACACTCGTACACGTACACGTATAACCAAAGCAGTTGACATGATTTATATGGACAATATTTTCAGCTCGCCTGCTCTCGAGACTAGACAAATGGGTCACGATTTGATTAATGAATGATGATAAATGTAAATTTTACATTTTGTAATAGTTTAATGTTCAGCTTAACTGAATGTTTAGGTTTTGGATGGGTGGCTTTTCTGTTGAGGGAACTAGCTCTCAGTTGCAGTTCACAGAAAAACGTTGTTTGGCTTTCCCTCGATTCTCGTACATCTTCTTCTGGCTAAGTTTGCCTTTCACATTTACCAGCCTCAGCATCTGACAACTTTTACTCCCACACATAGATGCAGATACAGTCAGACAGACAATCTACAACCTACAAGCACCGACAAAAGTGCAATGACAGCCGCGTCCAGTTGCACTTGTCAAGTCTTAAACACTTTCCAACTCATAAAACCCACATCGCATCGAGTGGTGTTGAGGCAGAAATTCCTCTGAAAAAAAAAGTTCGCCCACGCCGCGTTTTGAACTTGACTCCGTCAGCGGCAGATCCGGAGGGGATTACGATTATAATTATACTTTATTGGTGCGTCCAGCGGAAGTCAGCGTCACCAGTAGATTAACGATGAGTTCATTGGTGATATTAGCGCCATTAAAATGCGAACATCATGAAACATCTGGAATGGAGCATGGAATTTCCCTAGAGATTTTATTGCGTTGTACCCTCTGACCTGAATCGGGTTTTTCCATTGTTTCGTATTGCATTGCTTTGTTGGCATAACCAGGCCAAAACGTATGTAATTCAAGATGAAATTGCACCAGAAGCCAGACAAATGTGGGCTCTGTGTCTGCGGTCAAATTCTGCTCCATTTAAGGCGCTAGAAAAAACGCGTGCGAAACGCGTGGAGAACGCGCCATGTGTCCGGTTTATCAACGTATGTAGCTATAAAAAGTTCAGTCTGTTCCGTTCAAGTAGAGTGTGATCTTTGGGCATTAACCTGTCCTCTGCCCGTGCTCCTCTCTGCCCCACCTCTCCCCCTTGCGATAATTACGTAATTTGTTTCGTATTCTTGCCGAGATTCTTTCCTCACATCTTTGTGCTGTTTGTTTGGCTATTTCGTATTTCTCTCTCTCTTCTTTTTCTGCGTGAGGTGTGAACTGAAGTCAGCGGAAATGTGCTTTAAATACGAATGGTACCTGTATCCGTACATATCTTTGTGTATCTTTTGCTTGAACTTTAGCTGCGGGTGGGAGTGGGAGCTCGAGTGCGGGCTGACCATTTCCCAGGCAACCAGTTTCGGCTTAAGTCCCAAAGTGTTTCCATGTAAGACAAGACAGTTTGGCGTGTGATTATCTCATCAGAGTTAATGCCGGCCGCGGGCCACTTGTACGAGTGCGATGTGGATGTGGATGTGGATGCCTCGGCATTCATCCGATAGATACGAATGCCAGCCAGCTGCAGCGGCATGCATTTGCATGTGCCAACATGCGCCACATCAATCCGTGGCGTGGCTGAAGCTGCAGCCGGCGTTCGGAGCACGTTAAACGTTTGATTAATTTAATGACAATGCCCGGTGGCTACATTTGATGAGCCATAACTCATAGATGCATTCTCCTATCTGGTTCGTGTGCTCATGTGGATGATATCAACTTTCGAAATGCTGCCACTTGGGAGATTGGCTACAACCACTTCCGAATAACTTCTCTGCGGAGCAGCTTTGGTTCATTGATTAGTCATTCGATTAGTCGATTTATCTAAAATCTTTGGCTAAATATAAGTCTTACGTTCTCTCAAGTGTTCCACGCTCCTTGGCTATTGTTTTCATCTCGTTTCCTTCTATTTTTAAAACCAAATTTTGTTTTATAAACATTTGTTGGTTTGTTGAAGCGTCGCTTGACGTCACAATTGGCCAAATTATTGGATTTTGTTTTTCTTTACCTCTTGTAATTGCCAAAGGGGGTCAAGGTGGGTGCACAGGAATGCCGTAAATACTTGCTTGTTTCCTTACAAAACAATCGTCATATATTAGCCAGAAGCGTATTGTTGATAAGATAGAAACAATGGGAGGAAAAGTAGATGGGTAATACTTCCACAAATGCCCAAGCAACATCATCCATTATATGACGAAGTCTAAATTTCTTGAAACTATGACTGTATGCCGCTCTGTTCTAAATTTGAAAGAAACATTATTAATTTCCTTTTATTTTTCCAGTTGAAATCATCTGTTAGCCGCATTTTGATTTGCCAAAATGGCAAAACCCCTTTTAAACTCCTGCTGCGTGTGTCAGTCGACGCGGAATGGCTCCATTATCTCCGGCATCCTGGCCATAGTCCTATCCATCATCACCATCGTGGTGATCTTCACAACGAGAGTGCATTTCAAGACGATCGTATTCGACTTTATACCCAATGACATTGTCAAGATAATACTTGTGGTCAACCTGTGCATGACCATTTTGATATCGCTGCTAATGATCGCAGGCGTCCTCAAGGTACGATATGATCGGTCCTCCCCCCCACACACACACACACACACACACGCACAATGTGTGCTCGTTGAATACAGATTGCATCATTAATCTTTGTTTATTACAGCGCAATCACTACCTGATGGTGCCCTGGGTGGTGCTGGGCATCATGATTGCCATTGGCCTGCTCATCTCAGTCATCTACACTGCCGTCGTCTTCTTCATTGATGGCTACGTGTTGACGGGTGTTCTCTGGCTAATATTTGGTTTAATTTGTTGCGGTAAGTGTGCAAGGGAGTGGGGCAGTGGAGTGGGCAAAATTGAGGGGGCAACTGCTACTTCTCCATGTGCGGTTTTTAGCACCGGATGGCGTTTTATGCGAGCCGTTTTTACTTTATTGACGCATTTATCATGCGTTGATTGCCCCGTGCGCTGAAAGCAGAAAAGGCGGCGCCCCCAGCCAATGGCTTGCACCCAACAAATGAGGCGCGAAGTGGCCGGCAAATGCAATTTGTTGCAGCAGATAATAAATGGGCGAGACTCGTTTCTACATCTGCTAGATTCTAGTGTAGCTACCATGTAGAAAGAGTGTCAAATACATTGAACAGTGGGCGCAGACTCGGATTCCTGACACTAAACATTTGAATGTCTTTTCTTGCAGCGGTTCTTACCTATTGCTGGTGCGTCGTCTATAGCGAATATGCCAATCTCTCCGAGGAGAACGAGCGTGGCAGATACAACAAGCAGCCGTACCGCCGCTAAGGATACAACCACAAGGTGATCTGTAGACCGATCCCCTGCTCTCATCATCACATCCATTCTAGCAAGAAATACCCATTCAATCATACTAGTTTATAATAAGTATCCCAACTGCTTATGTTCGTATTTAGTGGATATGTCTAACTAATAATTGTAATTTAATTAAGGCGAGCCAGCCTTTCGTTCAGATCGAATTTATGTGGCCCGCGTCATAAAGTGCAATCAACCGAGTTATTTAACATTTAAATAAAACTTTAATCCAGATATTTTGTGAATTTCTGTTGTAATTTCTATGTAGTTTTGTTTTATACATGAGATACATGAGATGAGGTGCCCGCACCCTCCACGCTGGCAGTGCCCTAGAGTTGGCCCTGATTGTAGTGTGTTTCTTGGTTTCTTTTTTATTTGAAAATATCGTTTCTTTATGTATATATTATATTCAATTCTCTCAAAGTCTATCAAAATTGTAAATTAACTAAAAATATGGATGTGTAGTGGGGGGTTTCTTCTATTTGAGTGGGCGTGTTCCATGTAACTACACAACTAACTCTAGACTTTTGAGCTATGCGATCTACAGTTCGCTGCGAGCGTACTTCGGCTTCAGCTCCTCGATGCGCTTGATGAAGTCAGACTTCTCCAGGCAGCCATCGCAGCTCTCATCCCAGTCGTTGAGTATCTTTTTCAGGTCGCGTACTTTTAACTTTTTCAGATCCACACTGTTCAAATCAATTTGTTTCTCTGCATTTACACATAAATAACATATAGTTAGTTTGCTGCCACACACGCTTCCTTCTCGCAGGCGTACGTACCATATCGGAGGTCGCAGATTTGCGCATCCTTCTTCTTCAGCTTCTCACACACTTTCTCTGCTGGCATGGACCAGCTCAGGGGTTTGCTCATCTCGTTCAAGATTCCAGTGGCCGATTCCTCCAGACCACCGAGGTAATAGCACTGCATGGAAAAAGCACACGTGTTAGCATACGTGTTCAATAGGCGGAAGAACGCAATGTTTGCCGGCTACTCACGAATCTGTGTTCCTTGTTCTTTTGTGTCTTGCAAAACTTCTTGAATTCAGTCTCAATTTGCTTGTAGTCACCCTTGATGGCATCGTCGAGCGAAGCCGCAAAGCGCCGGACAGTCTTGATACAAACTACAAGATTTTGGTTGAAAATCTGCTCCAGAACATTTACCACTTACGTGGCCAAGATATGTACATACCTTCGCAGTCCTCCTCTTTCAGGGCCAGCGTTGTCTGTGCGACGCCGGCCAGGAAACAGACCACAAGCACCAGATGGGATGTCTTCATTTTGCTGTTACTTTGATTTAATCAATGCCTTTAATTTACTAAATTCTTTTTATAGAAAAACTTTTGACTTTGTTTCGTGTTATTTAGTTTAGGTGGCCGTAGTGATGTGTACTTGGTACAATAAATATTATATGCGATGAGTTATCGATAGTATCGCAAGTATCACAAATGTTATTTGCGACCATGAAGCAATTATATAAGGAGGGCCCGTCGGCACAATAAGAGACTCTTAGCATGCTGTCAATAAATGCGAGTGAATGGGTTCCGCGCAGTAAGTTTGAGTGAAACGAATTTATCGTGTGCACACAACCCTTCGCATGAACAAGCGAGCACGCACTTAGCATTTAGAGGCCGAAAACACACCAGAACGCCATCCGACGGCAACTCCTTATATAATTACTTCATGTTTGCGACATTTTGGCAAGTGTGTGCATATCAAAGCAGTCTGTTGTCACTCTATGTGGCAAAAAAACGACAACAACGAGATGGGCGACAGTCGACCATATCACACGAAAGTTACGAAATATCGATAGCAGGCTGACAATATTAGGGGTGGGAGTGTGGTGACGGTTGAAAATTTAAAATTTTGATTTCGTATCATTAATGAACCAGCAACACAGTGTGTAGATCCTATTAGCGTCAATGGCTTTTAGCTTATTTCTATTTAGGAACCATGGTTTTGTTGAGGTAGAGGGAAAAAGTAAGCAGTATCCTCTGCGTTTAACTCTCTCTCCTATTTTTCTTTTAGTATCTCACATATGGCATCTTTAAGATGCCATTTAACGACTGTGTATTTTCCCCGTCTGTGTGCTTTTTTGGCTGACGTGTTCTGAGGGATGTTGGCATGGCCGGGATGAAATTGATTCCTACCGTCTTAAGGTATTGGACGGATCTTTTCCCTGATTTTATAAGCGATAAAATTATGCTGAATGCTTATTGGCAGTATTAGAGCCCCGTTTCATTAAATTTTGGCTAATAGCCATTTCTAGCTATTAATGGGCTAAGCTGTCAGCACTGCAAATCGGGAATCAGAACCGAGAGCGCCAGACGTTTGAAATTTGAATGAACTTAGAGAGTCCTCATGGCAACACTGTTGAGAGCAAAAGTAAACAAAGTTCTTTCATTTCTCAGCGGAATTTCGAGAGAAATAAATTAGCCAAACAGGTGTGAGGGATCACTCAGCTGCTGTTTTGCCGCTCACCGCCTGCATCGGCTGCTCCCCAAAATATTATGGGGCCCCAGCAGAGTACACAGTATTGACTCAGCGAGCGAGCGCGATAGCAGGCCAGACGGAACAGCACCGCGCCGCCTCACGGTTTAAAGAAATCTCGTAACCGGACAAACAAATATGTACTTCGCTTGCGTTCCCAGCCTAAAGTACTTTACCCGTGACGTCGGTGTGCGATCTTTAGCCTGATATCGTTTTCCCCTTAAAATAGCCGCCTTCTTGTTAACCATCGAACAGTATTGCCCGAGCCCGCCGAGTGCTAAGTACTCTGTCAATCAGTACTTAGAGTTATAATCCAATTGTTACCGTTGGCAACTGCATTTACAAGCCCAAAGCAAACGACTTGTCAACTTTTCACCGGACATAATTTACAATTACACACCGCTACAGCCGCTAAAAATAAACACTGCAAGGCCTGTCAGCTGGCCAAAGCCAAAGCGCATTTCATCCCATACAAGAGACAGAAATTCCGAGCACAGAACCACCCAAAATGCCTGATGTAAAGTTTTTAGCGGTGCTGCCCAACAATGCCAACGCTTCGGACTGCGTAACAAAGTTAACCATCAGCGGCACCCTGCTCCAGCAACCTCAGCAGTAAGTTCAAAAGCCCAAGCAAAATCAACATCCCAGCCTTAAAGGTTAGAGATTTTCCTGGAACTTTAAGAAAATCGATTAGCAAATTTCCTGGCCCAAGTTACGGAAACTTGTTCTTTGCGTGCCGAATTTTAATAGCCTAAGGAATGTGTATTTGACTCGATTAGAGGGAAAATTCTCACGAACTGGCGGACGATTTATGGCGCACACATGAAACATACAAATGGGCTACAAAATTGAAAGATTCGTATAAATAACAAAGGCAAATTATGAGTTTCCGATCGAAGAATCGATAAGTAGATGGTAGAAAATCAGTTAGACACGTCCATACACACGTACGTACATACATGTGCATGTTTGTATGTATGTACCTTATGCAGTTATACTTGCGGGTAAAGTGGACTCGTCTGGATATTGCTGTATCAATTCCACAATCAATGACATCATCAGCACAAAATTAAAGCAGACACGCGCAACTGAGTGGCTGAAGATGCCGGCCCGGCAAAGAAGACAACAGCAAAGAACAATCTGAAAATTGAAAACAGAGCCGACAAAAAAGAAACGAACAAATCATTGTAGCAATAATCGGCATGGTGTGGGTTAAGCAAATGATGTCAATAAATCAGAAAACGGAATACCATTTGATCTGTTACAACACCATGGAATCCGGGTTGGGTTTTCTGGGCTACAAGATAATGGAAAAACCAACGGACCTTGAGTTTCTTATCTCTAGCCTCCAAATCGATAACATGCCGCTGATTAGCACCAGAAATGTGTCATATTAATAAGATATTGTACTATTTGCTTGTAAGGTGTTTTACTTAGATAAGAAATCGGGTAAACCAGGATCATTAAACACCCAAAATGACTAAGAAAATTTAACAATGAAATTCCAAATGACAATCCCTCAAACATCCCAATTCCGTACCTTGAAGGCTTGGCACGTTTTTCGCACCCACTGAGGAATGACGACGGGTCTGGTGTCCAAAAACTTGCCGAACCGCCATGTGCCATAGGAACAAACAAAGATATGATACGGGTGTTTGAATTTAGTGACTAATCAGCTTCGTAGACGGGGGTCAAATGGGGGAACATATCGGATCGCGACGTCATTAGCATATACATGAGAGATATAAACAAATGATTTGTCAAGTCAATTTTTCGCTCTCCCTCTCTCTCTCTCTCTGTCTACAGATTCTCGGTGAACTTTGTGAACAGTCCAGTGTGTACAGACAACATCACATATCACTTCAAGGTGGTGATCCCCACACAGACGATCATCGAGAACTACAAGCGGAACGGCGAGTGGAGCAGCCTGCAGCAGGAGCACTACCTAAATATATTCGATGGTACAGGCGGTGATAGTGATAAGAATCTGACCCAAAGCTTTGCCAGTATTATGAACGAGATTGATGAGGCGTTCCAACTTTCATCCACAGAATCAACCTTTCGCCTAGAGTTTACATTCGATTATGATAATTCCACAATGATCGTGTACCAGGTCAGGGAAACGGGTCACAATTTCATAAGCAAATACGAGACGCTCTTCTCGCTCTCCGAAATCCAGGCGATTCAGGTCTGGGGAGATGTGCAAAAGGTCAATCAGTTCGCCCTCAGCTATGATTGATACAGAGACAGATCAGACCAGCAAGGTAGCCATTTATATTAGTTTACTGCACTTGCACCCTATTTCAATGCATTCGATTGCTTCGGTTTGGACTCGGTTTCGGGCACTTCTTAGTCCTAACATTGCACTGCACGACCTTTACCTATTTACCAGTTACCAGTAGCTATAGTTTTTAGTATTATATTGTTTTCCATCAACATTTGGTTTGCAGTTGAAGTGGATTCGCGACCTTTGCTGCTTTCATGCACCTTCCTCACAATTTGCTCTTCACTCTGATTTCTAAGCAAACTCATTATGATTTTCATAATAAATTATTTCACACTTGTTACGGATTACAGTCACAGGTCAAACCATTTACACTCACGAAACACGCCAGCACTAGATTGTCTGGCGCCTGAAAGTATGTTTTGTTTTTCCCCATAGTGACGTCATTGCAACCGACATCGCAAGTAACTGTTCTGTTCTGCTCAGTTATGTTATTTTCGTTCTTCACCAGCAGTTTGTAGACATAGTTTTGTTAATTTAATTGTTAAACCAAAGATTTGTATGTTTAAATGTATATTATGCTTGCTGTAGTCTTCCATCTAGTTTATATAATTTATATTTTTGTAAGCCCGTTCCATGTAATTCCCTCAGAGAAACACATACCATACCATACCAAGTATTAAACATCCCCATCCCCAAAATGCATCTTCTTTGATTAAATGCGTAAACACACAACAGATTCATGGGAAATGGTTTTCTTTAATATTAATGATTCGGATTTGGATATCTGGCTTGCTTATGTTATTCGTTTCGTTTGCTATTCGTTCGCATGCTAGAATTATAATTACGAGCTTTTGCGAAATAGTTTCCATCCATCTTGCAGATACTTGGCCAGTGGAATTAACATTATAAACTTCGTATTTTCAGTCGAACGAATTTTACCAAAAATATTCACGTAAACATTGGGGCCAGCCCCAGCCTGCCATCTGCTTTATAGCGCACCTACAAAAACCGATGGCTCCAGTGTGCAATACCAAATGAAATACACATACACAATACAAATATCGTTTTTATCCATAAATTATATACTTTATGTATTTATTCTATGAGTGGAATCCGTTCTCTCACATCTTCATTTCACCCAAAAAAGGTATCTTACAATCATTTGTTTACAGCTTCTACGAGTACATCGATCGATAAATATTTACAAAGCCTTACAATACTCATTACACGTACATCTTAAAATCGAGGATTTACATACAGTTAAGGGGAAGTGGCTACTAAATTACTTGGTGGAATATCGAGAGCACCGTTTGCTGGAACGAAGTGCACAAAAAATAAAATAAAATAGTTTTGTAAAAGTTTAAAAGTAATATTGCACCAAAAGGTAGGGGCGGAGGCATCCCCAAGTCTTATGAAACACAACTTAAAATAATATATTAAGGAACTGATGACCAGCAGTTAGATTAAACCAAACTGAAAATCAAGGACTAGGATGATCTAAGCTTAGTTTGGGGGGTGGGGTTGGTTGACAGTCTACTTTTTACAAACTAATTGGTTGGCGGGCGAGTTGGGAAAGTTGGGGAAGCCCAGCTGAACATAGTTAGCTAGCGATGAGGGCATATTCGAGTCGGGTGCTTGGGTAATAGTAATGGTATTCCCAGCGTGATCCTGGGTGGTAACCACATGCATAATTTGAGCCTGCTGCGGTTGAGTTGGGGTTTGTTTTTGCTGCTGCGTGGCGTGCTGTTTGATTTCAAATGTAACATCCTGAGAGAAGTTAAGATATTTATGAAAAATTGTCGTCTTGCTGCGGAGTCGGAAGAACTCACCTTTGCTGGAGCTTGGCCATTGGTTCGCATTGGCGGGGATGAAGTTACTGTAGAGGCAGGAGCTGTACGCGGCTTTCTGTGCATTTCTCGATGCTTCTCGAAGTGTAATTTGGTGGCAAAATTCTTATTGCAAACATCGCAGCAGTACAGCGTCTCATTCGGCGGATTTGTGTGGATCCTGGAGAAAAGAAAAGCAATTTAAAAATATAAGCATAAACTCTACTATATGTGTACTTACCGCATATGTTTGCTAAGATTATCCTTGCGCGAGAAGGGTTTTTTGCACGACTCGCAAGTGAACAACTTCTTGCCAGAGTGGGAGATCAGATGCCGTGACAAATGCTCCTTGCGGCTGAACGCCTTGCCGCAGCCATCCTCGGTGCACTTGTAGGGACGCAGGCCTGCGTGCAGCTTTATATGCTGGACGAGATGTTCCCTCTTCTTGAACTCGCGATTGCACTTTGGGCAGATCAAACCGGGCGGAGGAGCTTCCGGAGACTTACCAGGCGCTGGGCAGATGGGCTGCGGCGAGCGTGGTATTTTTGATTTCGGCGCTTGTTTCTCTGGACTCTCCATTATCATTTTTTTGTGTTGCACCGCTATCGAAGGAGGCTGCGCTGGAGGAGGAGCAAGAGCAGGTTTTGTTACTGCAGCTGCCGTAGACGGAGCTGGAGCCGAAGTCGGTGCCGGAGGCGGAATAGACGGTTTGGACAGGGTCGTTTGGGTTAAAGTCTGCGTGGGAATTCGACTGATGGTTATGTTCTGTTTGTTCAGCAGTGGCATATTCGTGTTAGCCGGCACTGGCTGCGGTTTGACGACCTTGGTGATGGTTGTGCTCGAGGACAGTCGCTGCAAGGCAGCCGGATTGGAAGATGTGGCTGTGGGCGGCGAATCCATAGACTGCATTGGTTTAGCCTGTGCAACAACGCGCTTAAGCTCTGGGCTGCGAACTGGCGATGTTTGCTGGGACGACACAAGTGTTGATGTTGGCGAAGTAATCACTTTGTTATTTACTGGTTGTTGCTGTAGCTGCTGCGGCTGCATTTGCCTCTGTCTGAGTGAGGGAATCTTAAAGGTGGGCTCTTCTTTGGTGGCTTTTGCCATGCTCGATACGGCGGGGACATTCCTGATCAGCAGCTGTGGATTTGCGAAGTTCGAATGTCTGATGATCTGCTGTGATGTCACTGTGGCTGTGTTTGCGGAAAGCTGCGGACTCTTAAGCTGCTGTAAGGTATTCTCCTGTTGTTGTTGCTGCTGCTGCGGTTGTTGCTGCTGCTGCTGCTGCTGTTGTTGTTGTTGTGCAGGCTGGGGCGCAAGGAAAATGTTCTGAAATTGTCCCATGGATGACACTGCTGTAGTGGCTCCCTGGAAATTGTTTGCATTTCCCAAGGCCTGCGGCGTCAGCTGCAGGGTGGCTGGAATGGAGGTGGGCGTCAGCTCCATGATTGGCTGACCATCAGCGGTGGCCAGCTGTGGCTGTAGTTTCATCTGCACCTGGTATGTAGTGGGCAGCACAAGATTCTTGGTGTCAATGTGCGCCACAATCTGTTGATCAGAATTCTCGTCGCGAATGGTTATGGGCAGAAAACATTTGTTGGGCGATAGAATATTGCCTGCTCCTCCACTCGAACCCGACTGTGGTCCGGACAGGCTGGAGAGCAGAGCTGTGGCATTCAACTGTGTCTGACCCCCAGCTGCTGCAGGTGCACCGCCAACGGGCATTAGTTGCAACTGCAGCTGGGGCTGGCCTCCAGCATACTGAGGGAGCGATGTGCTAAACTGGGGTCCAGTTGGCGAGGAGAGCACAAAATTGAGCTTTGGTTTCTTGCTTTCACTCGGACTCGAAGCATCCTCTGAAGCAGAGAACTGGCTGGTGGCCGCCAATTGACTGGTGAGCTGTTGGAGTTGTTGCTGAAGCTGGAGATGTTGTATTTGCTGCCAGATGGACTGCTCGCCCACCATTGGTTGCAATTGCATCTGTGGCGCGGACACAGTTCTTATTGTTTGTGCCTGCAGTGGCGGCGGCTGTGCAGTTGGCGTCCCTGGCTGAAGTTGCGGCTTACTGGGGACTGCAGAAACGGGAGCACTACTTGGATCCCGCTTTCCCAAGGGAGTTATTTTGATGTCCGGCTTTAAACGTATGAACTCCTCCAGGACGCTGTTTTGGAGAATGAACATGGAACTGTTGTAAGTTTGATTGCAGGCAGAAGATCCTCTTACTCACGTTTGCTTGTCTGACTTCTGCTGGATAGGAGACGGAGGCGGCTGCTTAGGTTGCTGCTGTTTCTGTGGGATACTGTTGTCCACCGTGATGGTAAATTGCTGCTGGGGTTGCATGCCCACAGCCTGGATAATACTGTTAAGCAGATTACTGGATTGACTGCTGCTGCTGGCGGGAGTGGACTGCAATGTGCTGCTGCCCACCACGGTGAGGCTCTTGCCTGTGCCATCGATGGCATCTTTGATGTACAGCTTGTCGTTGTGGCTCTGCATCGGGGGAATGTTGAGGCAATCGTTGAGCATCGTCTGGGTCTTCTTGCATGTTAGACGAAGGGCATGAATCTGCTCCACTTGCTGCACACACTGACCGCAAACCACCTTCGGCAGCCGATCCTTTTCGTCAATCTGAAAAAAAGCGACTTGAATAGCTGCAAACTGCTGCGCAAATGCCAAGGCGACGGCCCACTCACCTGCAAGGACAGGCATTCGTATATCTTGGAGCTCAAATTCTTGGCGCGTCCCTCGGCAGAGAAAACGTTGGTGTTCTGCTCGCCGCTGTCCGTGCAGATGCGACACAGGTCGTAGTAGTTGATGCATCGCACGTTGCTATTCGAGTTGACCATATTTCCCGCCGACTGACAAGGCTGCGCTTGCTTTAAGGTAGCTACAGAATGTTTATTTTATTGCACATGCAAATATTTGTTGTTTTTTTTTTGTCGCGACTCGACGCTCTGTTTCTAGTGATGGCAAGGAATCGATATTTCTGTGTGTGCGTCGATAATTTGAGCACACTTACCTTTTATGCTTTGACCTTTTGGCTTAAACCTTATTTTGTAAGCAATCCAATAAGAGGAAGCTCTTAATATACTCCAGTCTTGTAGAGAATTGATTCGTTTATATGATTAGTCTGTATGCTCAGTGCTCAGAGTCTCAGTTAGCTGGAAATATTACACCGAATATTAAAATCAGAGAATATTTTATTCCCCTTCATGGACAAAGAATGATTAGCCATTGTCCACCATTTGCCACTTCAAATATTATGACTAATTGTAAGGCTACAAGGAGCATTGGATTTACAAACATTATTTTTCCCCTAAACATGTCTCTAGGTGCTCAATTGCTTAAATATAGGGGGCCTAAGTGGGTTGAGTTTTGTTCGGTTCCTCTGTATATTTACAGTATATTTAAAAAAATGAGAAGGTATATTTCGATATACTTGTAGTCGGCGGTCACACTTATTGCGTCAGCCATCAGAGTGATTGAATTGATTGATAAATCGGATGATATTTTAGTAGACAGACCCCTGTAAAACATTAAAATCAAATTTGAAATTTCTGCAACATTACATTCAGTCGCAAAAGCAAATAAAAATTATCTAGAAATTTTCCTTTACAGTGAGAACGTCAGCATTGCCATTCTGGCGGAAGTGTTCTCTCATGATCTTCATGGCCATCGCTCATAAAAATAATTTAAATCTAAAAAGAATCGTTTTTGAAACCAATCAAGATATTGTAATAGCTAAAATATCATACTTTGAACCCCTGATACCACTCCCCTATTTTAAGCAGACAATAGACAGGCTCATAGAGAAGCTCGATTCATTTGAAAGATGCGTTATAGCAGAAGACTTCAATGAAAGACACACTGGCTTTGGAGACACAGTCAATACCAGGAGGTATTGACTTTTTAGGTAAATAGGTATAGGTAAAATAAATGGAAATATAGAAAGTCTAGCAAAAAATTTGGCCAGAGAAATAAAAGCTGCAACATATCAAATAGGGCAACAAAAACCAAAATTATGGTGGGATGAGACTCATGCTGAGCTTTTTAGAGAATTCCGTGACGCACAAATACAAGCAAATGCAGAACCATCTTTTCAAAAGTACTACAGGGCGGTTGAGGCAAAGACAAAATGGAGAAAGGCACTAAAGATTGCAAAAAAAACAGCTTCGCCCGTAAAATAACAGAAATTAACATAAATTCAAACAGCAGAGAAGCGTGGAGGTTTTTAAATAATCTAAAAATCACACCTATACCCAAAAAAAAATTTTTTTTTCTCTCTCTCTTTATATTTACAATCTGTTTGTTTAAACAATACGTAAATTGTAAGTAATTAACAGAAATAGCAGTTTTCCAATGAGCCCTGCCATTATATATATAACATCTTTTCAGTTTGTTGGATTTATCTATCGGGGAGATCGAGAATGTGGTATCTTTTCAGTCTTCTTACTGTTAAGCTATTGTCCAATAGACTTAATGCTAAATTATTTTCGTGGTTGTGGGGTCTGTCGATGTATTTCTTGCTAGTTTTCTTTATTTCTTCTTTAATGGTTGGAATATTACGATCTTTGTGGATATTTGCATTATATACGTAAAACGGAGCATTGACAATGTGTCGCAAAGTTTTTTATTGGTAACGCTGAAGTATCTCAATATTTGAGTTGCTAGCAGTCCCCCAGAGCTGTATAGCGTAGGTCCAAACAGGCTTTAGTATTGATTTTAGTGTTTTAAGTCTAAGTTGTTGACATTTTTCTTTAATGTGATTTTTCCATGTTAAGTGTAACATTTGGGCAGTTACCTGGTCTTAATGAAAACGTTATTTGGACGGATTTCAGGGAGTTGATTCGAATTTTCCATCGAAGGATGGAATCTTCAATTAGGCTTAGCTCACTCTGCAGGAGTTCAGAAGCTTCATTTATAGATGTGCTTGTGGCTAAAACGGCTGTATCATCAGCATATGTTGCAACAGTGCAGTTGTTTGTAACTGGCATGTCGGCCATATATAGGGTGTAGAGTTGGTCCCAATACGCTTCCTTGTGGGACGCCTGCGTTGATGAGAAGTAGTGATGAAGTATCGGTTTTCTGCTGCACGTAAAAGCATCATTTAGCCAGATATGATTTCATTAATAAATAGTACGGAGCAGGTAGCCATTTCTTTATCTTGCACAACAAACCTTTGTGGCAGACTCGATCGATCGCTTGTTGAACATCAAGAAATGCAGCAGTGCAACATTTTTTTTTTACCCGGTAATGGAAGAGTAACGAGAAGGGACGTGTGAGACGCTTCTTACGAGTCACAACTAGCCATTGGTCTCAATGGGTCTAGCCATTGCTAATTAATTTCTTCATTCTGGCTATAATAATCATCCAATCGGATCCCAATTTGGTGATCTGATAGATATGGCCATTTCCATTAATCTTTAAAACTGTAGATTTGGGAGGTTTTCGCCCTTTTTTTGCGGGGGCGGAAGGGGGCGTGGCTCGTTTTTGAAATACACTGGTTTCAGTGTGAGCATACAGCAGTCCGGAAACAAAATTTGGTGGCTCTAGCACTTATAGTCTCTGAGAACTAGCCGACAAACAAGACGGACGGACAGACGGACAGACAGACATGGCTCTATCGACTCGCATATTGATGCTGGTCAAGAATATATATACTTTATGGGGTCGGAAACGTTTCCTTCTGTGCGTTACATACAACCGTTATTCCCCACAAATACTTTTTACTCTTCGAGTACCGGGTATAAATATGCTATCACCAGCATTGCAGATGTGGGAGTTGGAGCAAGGATAGATATGGAAAGAGCTCAGGCTATGGTTTTGAGAAGGTTCAGGGCAAAATGGCTTACATCCAAAGAGCTCTTTAAAATCCAAAACATAAATCCGACTATGTTTGAGGAACTAAAAATGTCAAGAGCAGTAACCAGCTATACAAAAACTTTAAGAGCATTCAAATATTTGTTTGAAACACACACGAAATAGTTACAATTTTAAATTGTGTTCAAAAACAAATGTAGTAGAAAAGGTATTGAGTAAAACAAAAGAAGATTACTCGGAAGAGGAAATTATGCTGTAATACAGAACAAGTATCTCAAGGAAGGGTGGAAAATTCTGTCAACGGATGCATCAGTTGTGCATGACACGGTTGGTATAGGCATTGTAGAATTACCTGACAACACAATGTACAAGTAAAATATACAATCTAGTCTCTCATCAGTAGGTGCGGAGTTAATAGGAATTAAGAAGGCTAGTGAGTTATGTTCTAACAACAAATATAAAGAAGCTGTGCTTTTTTGTGATGGGTTGGGAGAAATTAGGTTAATCAATAAAAAGCAAACAGACTCTTACATACTTTCTGATATACGTAATACAATAAGTTGAGCTTAGGTACAACAATTAGACATTATTTGGGTACCTGGACACAAATGATTAACGAAAAAGCCGACAAAAAGGGCTACTGCAGAAGGATAAACCATTTACACCAAGTTTAGTATTAAAGAAGCTCTTAAGGAAACAAATAACAAAATATTCATTATTTGGAATGAGAACTATAAGTAGAACTAAGGGCACGAATCTAGTCGAGTATTTCCCAGAAATACCCAAAAAAACCGACAGTTGCAAATGGAAGGCCAAAAGAATTCAAATGATAAACAGACTAATGACTGGACACACATACGACAAACCCTTTTTGTTCAAGATCAAAGCGGCAGACTCGGATAGTTGTGACCTATGCAAAGTTAATTTTAAAATTTTTTATTTTAAATGCCAACGGTTCACAAACGGTTCAGGGGGAAGCTTCGTATTTTTAAATACTATAATAATCTAAGAGATATACTTCCGCGAAAAGAGCCATTACACCTTAAAGAACTGGCCATTTTCATGAGCAAAGAAAATTTCGACTTTTAAATTTTGGAAAAATTCTATCATTTTATAGAGTAATATATTTTGAAACACCGATCTTACTTAAATTAAGAAAAAAAAAATATAGTTTTATCACGGAGACTCCTAACTAGCTCGTAATTTCAAATAGAACATCAAAATCGACGAAAATAATTTAAGATGTACTGTATATTTACAGTATATTTTGAAAATGTACGGGTATATTTCGGTATATTTCCGAGGGTCTGTGGGTATATTTCCCGATAACGCGGTCACACTGTCGGCCATCTTATTATTCTGAAAAAAAGTCAGTCAAATTTTAATTAATATTTCTAAGTTCTGAACGTAAAACAAATTGAATAAATATGGGTTCCCGCAACGAGTGCCGCATTTACGTTGGAAATCTGCCCCCAGATATCCGCACCAAGGACATCCAGGATCTTTTTCACAAATTCGGCAAAGTGACATTTGTGGACCTGAAAAATCGGCGTGGTCCGCCATTTGCTTTTGTCGAATTCGAAGATGCGCGGTGAGTAATGAGAAACTGGCTACATCCAAATACACACAAAACCAGGAGCGAACACCAAATAAACAATATCCCCTGTTTGGCGCAAAAAAAAAACAGCGATGCTGACGATGCGGTTAAGGCACGCGACGGCTATGACTACGATGGCTATCGCCTGCGCGTCGAGTTTCCACGGGGCGGCGGCCCTGGAAGCTACCGTGGCAATCGCAACGACCGCAACAATGGGCGTGATGGTGGTCGCATGGGCGGCCGTGGTCCTCCGGCCAAGCGGTCTCAATACCGTGTAATGGTAACCGGCCTGCCCCCTTCTGGCTCCTGGCAGGATCTGAAGGATCACATGCGCGAGGCTGGCGACGTCTGCTTTGCCGACACCTACAAAGACGGCTCGGGCGTGGTGGAGTTCCTGCGTCACGAGGACATGAAGTATGCCATAAAGAAATTGGACGACTCGCGTTTCCGTTCACATGAGGTAAGTGGAATCGAGGAAGCAAGATGAGGACGGAGTTGAACAATCAATTGTTTCCCCAGGGTGAGGTTGCCTACATTCGGGTGCGCGAGGATAGCGGTGAGAACGACCGCAGTGGTGGCAGTGGAGGAGGCGTAGGCGCCCGCGATAGCGTCCGTGACAGCGTGCGTGACAGGTAATTGCATGCAGAAGTGTGCCCTGGATGTTCCCTGGAGCTAATCACTATTATCTATTCTCTTTTGACAGGTCTCGTTCACGTTCGTTCTCATCGAGACCGCGTCGCCGCGGCACCCCGACATACTCGCCGGTGCGCCGTCAATCCTATTCCAGGTCTCGATCACGCTCTAACTACTAAACACTACCAATCATCATCCATTAAGCTATAATAATTCTTACGAGACGGAAAAGCAAGATAAACTAAGTACTACCTTTCAATCTTAACCCAAGCAATCGATTCACATTGTAAATTGACTATCAAGCCACCGTGTTCCATCATTCAATCAATCGACCCAGTCAAAACCCACAGCACACATCAGTCAAACGAGATTCGGAACATCAGAAAGACAACACCACAAAAAACTTGCTTTTCCCACAGTGCCACACGATTTCAGGCAGAGAAACTCTTTAAACACTACACTTAACACCGAACCAAACCGGATGATTTGTCCAAAACTTTTCGCGAAACTAAAATTGAAACTCAAGGAATCATTTTTGGCAAGCCTCCCTTGTTCATCATTCCTTGTTTTACCGATTTTAATTGTCTTTAACTGGCGGCTTCTCTTAGCCAATATTTTATTATTTTGGCTGCAAAAACCAAGCATAATTTATTACAACAAAAGCAACAAAAACAAAACAAGATTAAAACAAAAACATCGATTCCGAATAAATATGCCTGTAATGAGATAACAAAAATGAAACCAAACCCAGAAAATCGAAAAACCAGAACACAAACGAAATGTCGCGAGCATTTGATCAACAAATTATTAATATTTAATTTTTATTTTCTTCTCTTCCCCATTTTGCGCGTTTATGTTTGGAGTATAATGTGGAGGAGGAGGAGGAGGAGGAGGATGAGGATTAATGGAGGATGAGGATGAGGAAGGAAGGATATTTTGATGTTGATTTTGGATTTTGGAGTGGATTGTGGATAAATTTGGATTGAAATTAGTGAAGGCAGGACAATGGGACATTGATCTCTCTCTCTGTCTCTAAATGAGTGTATCAGGATTCGATTTGGATTATCAGGATTTGGATATTAGGATTGTTCTAAGACCTTCGCTAGGACATCGTGGGATGCAGGTTCCCACGGCTAACTCGCTCCGTAACCTGATAACCTGATAACCATTGCAGCAGACGAAGAGACACTTTGCAATTGTTTCATATCGTACATTGCTCTGGCAATTCGGGACGCGTCATGCGGAGTGCGGATTCCCCTTACATTGTGTCTGTCTTTTCGATAATTAATGGACAACTAATAGTCTTGAGTTGAGGGCAATGGATGTGTGGAGGATGATGCACTTGGACAGGACTCGTGTGAAGGAATTTCGGATTCAGCACTCGTCTCACAATTGGGATTAGGATTTGGTTCGAGTTTCGCCTGGAACTGGACAAGTCCCAGCCCCCCGAGTTGTTGTCGCCCTTTGTCGGATTCAGGGATTCCATTACTCACAGAGACACATACGAACTCGAACTCGTACACACGCACAGACACACTCATTTCGTGGCCTTTGCGCCCTGCCCTCCGTGTCGAATCAGGAGTTGCTGTGCCACACTTGAACGTTGCTGGATAGTGGCTGGCCGGCCGTGTGGTCCTTGGTCTGGTTTGATCTCTGCCTGGTCTCTGGTCTCTCTCTCGTCTTTCAGTGGTATGTTCGATTGCAAGATCTATATTTTACAATTTTTATTTTGAGTTTATTTATTTTTTAATTGTACATCAAATACTTTTACCAATATCCTCCGTGCTCATTGGTGCCGTTGCCTCCCCACACATGGTTCATAACTTTGGCCGCAAGCCAAAGGGTTTTAGTTTTCCATGTTTTGACTAGAAAAGCGAAAACCAAACCCGAAAATACCCCAAAATATAGTCTCTGTAAACGTACATAATTTGCATGCACCTTTTTAGCCTTTCCAGCCAAATACAACGTATTAATATTCACAAAATATACCTGAGAACACTTTTATTCCAAGTTCTCTGCGCTTATTCTTCACCTAAAAGCCCATAGTTTTAAAGTATTTTTGAAATCTAATCAAATTTTGCAATAAATATACAAAAACTGGAACTCAATGTGCAAGATTTTTTAGTTCCCAGAGGGCAGGAACGTATATCAAACAGAACATAAAGCGAGTTAAATGACATTTAAATTTAGGCGCTTTTTCAATTCGCAAAAAGTTCGAATTTCGAACCATGGCCGAACTACAACAGGTGAGAGCGTTTCTTTTTGAACCACTTTTTGTGCTTTTGGAACCACTTACGGAAATGAATAAGTTTAATTTACATTTGCGGTGCAAAATGGTAATATTAAATATATAGATTTTAAATAGCAAAATCCAGAAATATTATACTTGCTATATTTGGAATTATGATTGGGGTATTTTTGTGCTCATATTTGAAGCTCAAAAATGAGCACAGGAGAGCATCTGACAGGAGAGAATTTCCCCTACCGTTTAGACACAGGAGAGAATTTCCCTTACTGTTTAGACAGGAGAGAATTTCCCTAAGAACAAAAATTGCCCATTCACAATATTGACACAATTCACAATGGGAACCCTCAATCGCGCGCGCAGCTACAATTTGAATTCACAGTCGACAATACCAACTTCCACCTTGTATAATTTCGTATTTCACGTATCGGGCCTTCTGAAAGCGACCGTTGTTATTTCCGTAAATATATATTTAAAAAAAACAATTGCAAGCTGTTGGACTTAGTGTAGAATATGGAAATCGATTCGCCGGTTTAAACTGCTCGCGCGCCAAAAACAAACAAGACAAAAACAATATTCAACAAAGAAATTGTGATTTTGTGAGTGCAAGGCCCACGTTGAGCGGCGTCCATAAATAATATACTCGTGCCGCCTTAAAGTGCATTGACAGCTGCTGCTATTGACCAATCTGTGAGAGCGCGGAGGAAGCATTTCCGTGGGATCGCTTTGGTCTTGCGTTGGTGTTCCCTTTGTAGGCGGCCTCCCCCCTGCCTTATCAGCGACTGTTTCTCTTTCTCGTTTTTATTGAATCTCCCCGTTTGATTGGGCGATTTATTTCATTTCGGTCTTCGGGTTTCTGTTTGTTAGTCACACGCGCCGGCAGCAGCGGCAGCGGCAGCAGCTGTTAATCGATCGCGTTTTTATTGTCAATTACCAAGTTTATCGTTTAATTTGAAAAGTTTCAGCAACTATAAATAGAAGTGAAGTGTTGAAAAGGCGTAGACAGCTTACAATTTAGACTCATTCGTGATACAAGTTTTTAAGTGTTTCATTCGTGCTGTTGGGTGTTTTGTGTGTAATTTACTTGAACAGCAAAAGGTAAGACAAGCTTCATATTACATGTACAAAACATGCATACATGCATATCTATAGGTTATATTGCTTAGATCGTTAAATTTGTCGATGGCCTCAGCAATTTTGCACTTTTTGAACTCTGCCACGACTCTCCATCACCAATTCATTGCTGTCCGAGTGCATTTAAAAGGTTTTTTCTTATTGATCATAACTTGAAATCAGCTTTTATGAGCTGTTCTAAACGATACCTCTTCCCCTTGAGCATGAACTATTTGTATGTATTGCTGAATCTACGTTCTAGAGAGAGAAATGTATTTCTGTTCCACTCGAAAGTGAAAGTGCTTGCCATGGTGCACTGCAGTGGTAAGGAAATGGTAATGTGACCCACTTAAGATCAACAATTTTAGCCCGACACTTGGCTGCTTCCTAGGGTGCCTTTTGGGTAATGTAACTCAATATGTCAACCCAAAAGGTGTTGCTTCCTTGCGGCAAACAAATAAATACTACCTAAGCACACGGCCTACCTGGGGGCCTACCATTCAAGGTCTTTCTCTTTCTCTCTTTCTTTTTCTCTTTTGAAGGCGGCTTCTGTGTTTCTGACTGCGAGTAGTGTGTGTGGGCCTGTCCATCTGTTCTCTCTTGAGTTCCGGCGTGTTAATCTTTTGTTCAGATGAGATGCTTATCGCACCTACTGAACCTATGGGCCAAACTGTTTGTCATGACGACAGGTGCAGTTGGCTGGGAAACTAAGTTTCCTGGCTCTGAGAGAACTGAGAAACCCTCTCAGAGCCAGTGTTAGAGTTCATTTGTGCGAATGATTGACGTGGCAGCCGGCAACTCTGACCCCACTCAATGAGCTGCAGCGAGTACGCAATTTATGTTAATTGTTTGCTTGGCATATACCCTTACCGTTGAGGGTTGAGGGTACATCGGATACAGCACGGTCCATGGAGACAACAAAGAGCATCCCAACTTCGGTTCACTTTCCTCTCCTTTCGTTTCGTTTCGTTTGACGCTTTTCCCTGGGGTCCGTAGTACGTACCCGTCCAAGCATTTAATTAGACACTTTTTACTTTTCCCAGCGCTAGACGGAAACTTCTATCTACCAAGTGTGTGCTGTGCTGTGCTGTGCTGTGGTGTGGTGTGTAGTGGCGGCAACAAGTTGAAGCTTCAGCCAAAGCCAGAGCCGGGAGGCTGTCGCCGTCTAATTGTTTTGACTGTGGCAATTTCTCCTGGCCTTTTTTGGATTCAGTCGCGACTGCAGCCGGGGAAGCATCGGCTTGGGGCATGGACGGATAGAGATGGACAAACTGGTTTGTGTGCGCAATCCGAGAAGAATAATTCGGTCAGCAGCGGGTTAAGGCTCATCAGCCAGTGCCTCCCATCCGAGAGAATGGGAAAGAGATTGTGCGGGTTGCCCCCCCTCAGGCACTGACCAAAGCGAACGATCCGTTTTGGCCTTTTACCGTAATCAGGTTTCGGGTTTTCTTGTACGTCAACAGTCGAACAACAACAACCCAAAATGAATGAATGAATGGACTTGATGGAGTGGCGGATGGAGTAAGTCGATGCCTGAATGAGCGACAGGCGGCTGGCTGGGGCTTGGCAATCCATCAAACTGTCCTCGAAACTGGTGGACCAACGCCACCACTTAATGAGTGGCTCCGTCGCTGTCCGTGCTCCTCCCATTTGCATCCGCCCCTCTCACTCATTCTACTCAGATCCACTCGCAGTCGGAGCCATTAGCCACACAAGCTATGCATATGGTGATGGAACGCATAAAATACAGTCATAAAATCGCCCCAAGAGGCGGAGCACGCGCTTTGGAGCGCCGTTTAATTGCGCCTCGCGATCTGTGCGCCTCAATTTGCATTTTCCTCCACGCTGCCGGCCTGCCTGCCACTTTGTGAATGAGGAAAACTGCATGTCTAATGGTGGTCCAGCTGCAGCGGCTGGTTATGCTTGTTGTTCTGGAAACAAGTGTAAATTGCACACGCTTGCCACAACGACACTTTCCACACTCGCTAATTACTCAGAAATCAATTTCAATTTTCTGCCGCCCCAGTCCCACTCCCATTCCTGAAGTCAATTGATAAGAGAGGGCCCTGGAGGGCAGATGTAGGCTATCTGGGGTTAATTGTGTGAATAGCAATTGAAATGTTTTAGAAACTATTCAAAATAGAGGCGCCAACTGGGGGTTATAGATCCCAAAACAGAGCGACAGCTGATCGGAGCATGTTTAGTCAGTTTTGAAATATATTTCCTACTACTTCGTTGACTGCTCAAGACGATATTCAAATTCTCTATCCCCTGCTTCAAGGCTCTAGCGTGCTATATCTTGGACCAGAACCGCCCTACGCATGTCCAGCCCCGGGCTAGAGCAAATCGCGCGAAACATTCAAAAGACTATGATGGGCTGGACCGGAGTCTGACAGGGGGTTGGTACTGGTAATTGTAAGCGGCTATTAAAATAATTTAAACCCGCCGCCGTTCGGCCATAAAGCTAGGGCCTGACCGGGAAAAGGAAAGGGAAAGGGAAAGGGAAAAAGGATTACCTGACGAGTGCTCGCCCCAAAGGGATTAGCATAATTTTCGCTAATATTTTGAGCACAAGTCTCAGAGGGCATAATGCGCTTAGAAATATAAATAAAGGCGGCATTAACCTGAATGGTGGTCGCAGCTGCTGCAGGGCCGCAGGATTGCAGGCAAAAAGTAGAAACAGAATGCAGGAGGCATGAGGCATGCAGCACAGCCACAGCCACAGCCACAGCCATGATGAGCGGCAGTGGCAGTAAACGCGCCAAAAAGCAGCGACGGCAAACGTTGCGGCGACTGCATTAAAGTGGAAAATCCTGTCTGACAACATTTAAACTAAAAAAGATATATATACCGACATAAGCATGAGTACATACAGCAACCCATAGTAAATATGTAGAAAAAACCAACAGCAACAAAAAAACAACACCATAATAAGCGTGAAAAAGGCAAAATGAGAGCAAAACCTACCCAGGGAGTCCCAGTCCCAGTCCCAGCAAGAGAGTAACACTACGAGTACCCTGCCATGACAGAGCCAGAGCAGGATGAAGCCAGGCAATGCAAAGCTAGAAAAAGAAACTAAATAGTTGCTGTATTCGCAGATGGAGATACCCTGTACTTCTCAGTTTACATATTTGCACACCAAGAACTCGTTAAAAAATAAATACAACTTGTAGAACGAAGATTGATTTAATTATTAGTAAATTTCGAACACATATTCCTCCACTGCCACATTTGTGTCTTGTCCATTAAACTCTTTGCAGGAATACAGCAAACCAATGTAGACAGCCAGACAAATGACAATGAAAACAAAACTAAATGAAAATGATAAATAGACACTGAGAGAGGCTGCAGGATTGTGGGAGTAATAAAGGGTTTCCCATGAGTAATTATAGTGCATGCGGGCAAATGGGTAATTACGAGAGCAAAAGCTATAAAGTATTTCATTAGGTTTCATTTTCCTGCAAAAAGAAGGCTTGAATGTATGCAGATAAGTCTTTAAAATAACACATTGCATGCCACACCACATCATTTGCTAAATCTCATTAATGGTCTAATAACAGTCTGCAGTTAGTGCCTGTTTCCAAGGCTAAATAGGTGCTAAATTTCCCACACATTTCACTGCACATTTCTCTGTCTGTCTCTTCTCGCTATCGCAAATAAACAAACAAGCAACCGGCAATCAGAATCACATTCAAAGCATGTTTATCGTGGGGGCAAAAGCAAATTAACAAACGAAAACCTCATGTGGTGTTTCCCACAGCGGAATCTAAAAACGAAACTCAAGCTGAAAAATCGAACGATACACGCACACACACCAATCAAACATTCAAATCGTATAATTTTACGAACTCTGCCAGTAATTCCTTATTATTATATATCCATATGTGTGCCCTAAAAAATATCATCTAAAATATATGCAAATTGCACGCCCAAATCTGGATGTTGACAGGCCAAAACTGAGAGATTTTGTATCTCTGGCTGAATGATCTTGAAACTTGCTGAAAACCGAAACGATGATTAATGATGTTGCATTTGTGTACTTTTTGAAATATTAAACATCTCCCAGAGCAGCGCGTGCCGTCTCGAAAATTTTGAATAATCTCTCCAAGTGCTAATTGAAAATATTTCCCAGAACTGTGAGTGCTCTGTGCGGTTTTCAAAGTCAATTTGTGATGCGGTCAGCAAATTTGTGTGCACTTTATCAGGTATATTCGTAATATTACTCAAGCGAAGCGGGCAAAATTATTATAAATAAATCAACTATGGCTTTAGCTTTAGTTGCTGTTTTCAATCAACTCCTAGTTCCCACTCCATTTCTTGCCCATTGTGGCATTTCCGTTTCAAGTCAATCCAAAAGTTCCTCAACCACACATTTCTCTTGCATTGACAAATTGAAATAAATATCTCATACACATTCTGGGACTTTAAGTCTTTGTTTCCTCTGGAATGATACATAAATATGGCCTTCGTTCTGTCAAAGTCATAGGCAGAAAAAGAGAGAGATGGAGAGGGAGTGGAAAAAGGTAAGAACCGAAACCGAAGCAAACGTCTTTTGGGGCGCACAAATGCCGAATGACCCTGCTGCCTCCGTCCTCTTTCTCGCTCTGATATTGGTCATTGTGTGTGTGCACAAGACAAAGGACTCACATCTCACTGCATGCGTAAAATAAATAATTTGTTTGCCCAGAATGTCCAATCAATTGTTCAATTGTTGAATAATTAATTCGGTTACAACGTTGGTCGTGTCTCTCCAGCGGCTAGCAATCAATTAATAACATTTTTTTTTACAAATGAATTACAGATGTAAAAAATATTACAGCCATAAAGCACAATAAAACGATTCTTAATTGTGATTTAAATGCGCCATTTGCATTACCATTTTCAATTTGCAGCTTCCATCAAAGCTTAGATATCGCTGGAGGCGTTTATGACTTTTTTGTTTGATGGCTTGATGTTGGTATTTGTGATTTGAGCTATTTCTTTGTGCCATTCAAATGATTTTTTCATTTGATTTGTGACAGATTTATGGCTAAACCCATTTGCGGTGATTATTGGTTATGTTATGGGCAGATTATAGGGATTGGGTATGCAAAACATTCCACTCTATTGAGAGGTATGCATGAGATGATCTCTCTGCTTGAGTTATCTTCTACTGTGAAATGTTCTGTGGAAATATTTCTCACACATTTCTCGCACTCACTCCCGCAGCCCTCCATCCTCTCCACTCAATCGACAGCAATTGGTGCGTAACTTCCTCCTTCTCTGAAACCCATTGAAGCGTTACGGAAAGCATTATTGCCATACGAATTGTTTGTCTGCTTGCACACTGTTCAATGGGTGGGTATTTCTCTCTCCATGAAATCATCATGCAACTACCTGTTCCCCATTCCCCATTCCCCATTCCCCCAGTCCCGTGGCTTTACTATTTATAGGCAAATGCGCAGTATGCCCACGGCACAAGTCATCCCCAAAGTCATTTCGTGTTCCAGCTCCCCCGTGAAGATCAATGACTTTTGGTGGGGAGTTGGCTGGGGAAGGAGGGAGAGTTCGCGCTTATCAGCAAGTTCTGGTCTGTTGATAAAGAAGCGATGGCAGGTGACGAGCGGCACGATAAATAGAATGGACAGCAATCAATAATGAAGAGTTGAAAGAGTGAAGTGCTATGCTGTGCCACGCTGTGCTGCTTCCTCTGTCATTCAGTTTGTCAGTCAGTCATTCGGGCAGTCTGTGTGCGAGTGTCAGGGCAGGTGCCTGTTGTATTTACCTGCAATCAAAGCAGTTTATGTTTTACCTTTTTATTCTGTTTGTCAGTCTTGTATGTAAATACAAACAAGCACTTGAGGGAAGAGTATACAGAGCCAAGGGAAATTCTAGGCAAGGTAAAGCAGTCAAAGTAATCCAATAGACAAATAGATAACCTTTTGCATAATCTACCTTGCCCCTTCCAGCATTCACTTCTGCCATTCAATTTAATCGTTTTGTTTGCCTTCCCAACGCTGCGTATACGCAATGAGTGCAGTGAGTTTCTTTTCAGTGTGCATGTGGATGCCATTTGATTGGATTCGAGTTGGATTCGTTCAAGGTTTTCCCACACCCCGGTGCTACCAGAGGAGTTCTCTGCACTGCCGTGCCGTTTGCATGTCAAATGAACACTTTCAGCAAAAGGTGTTAATGATAAGAGAAAATATCAACAACAACTCTGCCTGGTGCAAAACTGGGTTAAAAGGTCTCTCCCCAATGGATGGGACGGGGGCATTGCGCATACGCAGCGTTGCAGTAAAGTCGTAACAAAATACAAACTACAAATCCAGGAAGGCGGCAGCTGTTTGTTCAATAAAAGCCAAACAAGGCTAGCCTTAAAGTAGAGAACAGACAACGACCTGTAAATGCTCTCTTAGGATTAGGACTTCAGATTTATAAATAATCAAGTAATCTTTCTTGCATCAAAACCAGAAAAGAGAGTCTTAAGCCGCGATCTGAAACGAGTTATGATTATATGACAAACGAATCCCATTAAATCGCACAATTTACATTCACATTCACACTGCAGTCAGTCAGTCAGTCAGTCATTTACATGAGTTCTGTGCACTCAATTAAAATGCCAAGTTCAGCGGCTGCCAACATTCGAAAACTGACAGCTGACAGATGGAAATTTAGTGTGGAACGCAAAGGAAGCTAGGGAAAAGCTACGGACTTGGGTCATGGACTTCCCACTCCACGTGCTCAACAGTTGAACTATCAATCATTCAGTGTTCATTTCGCTTTGAAGCAGGTGCTAAATGTGTCAGTTTTAAACGAACAGAAAGCCAAAAGTTCACAAGGAGTAGAGACAGCTTCTAGCATTTTACAAATGTCAACGATTTGAGCTGGGAATAAGAGAATTATTAATGAGAAATACTTTGATGGGGGACGATTGTTTTGTTCTATGATGAACCTATTATTTGTATCTAAAGTTGTTCATAAAAGTTATTTCCCTTTGCTTGACTTGCAGATTAATTACAGCTAAGAAGGAAGTCAAAGAGTTTGTCACCGAAGGTGAGTTTTCCCTTTAAAATCAAAGTATCTTAGCAATATTCCCACTGAGGATTAGGGTTCAGTATGTAGCCCAGATACAGAGTTGTATTTATAAAGAAATTCCAATCAAATGCAACCCTTTTCTTTTCTGCACTTAAATGCACTGCATACATTTCGGCGTTCCCTTAAAAGCAATGTCAGAATTTTCTTTCACAAAAGTAATTAACGAAAAGTGCGGATACGAGTGTATATGAAAGGCATTTTCCTTTGCACACAGCTCCCTGTATCCATTCAGTTCCTTCCGCTTGCCTGAGTACAGTCCGAATCCACAGTGCCGAGGCAATTGAATGCACTGCATGCCTGTGGACTGAACTCTCACCTCTCGAAGAAATGGACGGAGAAATCAGCAGCGGAGCAGGCCAGTGGCTGGAGCCTCCTCTTAATTAATGTGCAAAATCACGCGTCTGCATTTAATTCACTTTGTTGCCTGGGAAACTGCGCCATGCCACAGAGACAGAGACAGAGCCGCCCAGAGAACTCCCGAGATGTCGGGGAAAGCCACTCGAGAAATGTGGCAACATTTTTGCACGCACTTGACGGCCTGTCGATGCGATTGGGCCGCCAGATTGTAACGCGGCCCCCATCTTGGCCAGCATCATCTATTTAAGGGCATTTGTCAGCTTTTTCCCAGCCATCGCATCGAATGGATCGAATTGTTGCGCTTGGGCTGCTGTGGCCACTGGCAATTGTCCTTTATGGCCATTCCTTCATTAGGCCCCCACATCTTGGATGGCATTTTAATGCAATTTTTATGCGCATTTTTGTGCTCTGTAATGGCGCTCTGTCCCACCTTCCCCGCTTCCTCCTCCGCCAGACCATGTTGATGTGTCACTCTGGCGAGCATGTAAGATGTAATTTCAATTGTAATTCATATAATTCGCTTTATTGTTGTCTCCATGGGCCTTGGTTGGGGCACTTGTAGGCGAATGAAATCGAAAGATAAAAGTGCTGGGCTTTCATTTCTATTGTAGGAAAAGGTTGCCAAACTTCAGTTGTTGGATAAATGTTCTATATGCAAGTCTCTGAAGCAAGCGGAGGGCAGGCTTTTTGAACCAAACCCAAAAAGAAACCCCCATCAGCGAAACTCTATTAGAGCGCAAGGAATGTCGTGTCAAACTTCAATGTGTCTCTCATCATGCACACGCAATGTATGCTGTTTGATTGGTTAAGGACTATTTTACTTTATATACTGATGGGATTTAGATTCGCTATTTGTGTTCCAACTCAGATATTATTTTAGAGCAGTTGCTCACTGTGAGAATTCCCATAAATTAAATAATCTCTATGTAAAGTATTCCTTTGCACACAGCTCCCTGTTTCCGCTTGCCTGAGCTCCACCATTGAATGCACCACCAGAAGCCAGCAACTTCACACCGAGTACTTACCGAGTAATCTTGCAGCTGTTGGCCATCAGGAAACTATGCTTAATTGGGCATGCGGCCCAATATGATCCATAACTAGTAGGCAAGAAGCTAAACAAACATGTGAACAGAGCCTCACAAAAGCGCCATCAAAGTGTCAAAAATGGGGCATACCAAGCCAAGGGATGTGTTGCTTATATCTTATACGATATATGTGCGCTATGCCATGAACTTTAGGGGATTTAGGCATCGAGGGGAAGTGGGATCCAGCCGCAGCGGAGACACATATGTACACACATAAATTAGCTCATAATAAAGTTCAAAATAAACTACGGCGTGGCGACCGGCGGCGGCATGCCTATAAAAATAGTCTCCAGTGGCAGGGAGTGGGAAAATTAAGCGCATTAAACATTTGAGAAGGCATAAATATTCATAAAAAGAACAGTCCAAAGTCTGAATGCAGCTGCTACTGCGGGCAGGATCGAATGGGAGACTGGGCCGTGGTCTTTGCATTTTTTGTAGGCCATGCGGAAGTCAATGGGGCGTATGAGTAATGTTTCCCACTCCCCCACACACATAAAAAGATAAAGAACATTGTCAAGTGTCTCGAATTTATTGAATTCATATGATAGAAGACGCACTAGTAGGTACAACTAGTAGGCCATGACATCATGCACTCGTCGGAAGCGCTCGCCAGCCTTCCGCAGCGTCGTGCCGCGCGTCTCCGGCATGAGAATGGCGAAGGCCACCAACCCCACCACGAGGATAATGCCCACTATCACAAAATAGTTGTAGAAGTACTCGGACGTGGCGGAGGTGAATGTGGCAATCACAACGATGTGGATCACCTGTTCGACGCACACGATCAGGCCTATCAGGAAGGGCTTCACTCGCAGAGGGAAAGCCTCACCCAGATAGGCCGACGAGCTGCAGACATAGATGCCCGCGAAGAACTGGAGGGCAATGCCCAGATTGCTCACCTGCCGCATGTAGTAGGGGCTCAGGATGTTCACGTAATCCCCATAGACTCCGGCCATGCCCAGCATCAGGCCAGCCATGCACATGAGGCCGAGCAGCGAGACGAACTTGCGGCCCACTGTGTCCAGAATGACCAGCGTGAGGAGGGATCCGAGCAGGCGGAGTGCGCCAAAGACAATGCTCGGCCAGGCGTAGGCGGTGCCCTCGTACACATAGCTGCTCGACTCTATGGAATAGGAGAGTGGCAGTGACATGGCGAAGGCCACAAAGCACCGAAAGAAGAGCATCTTGATGAAGGGCATCACGGATTCGGCCACCTGCTCGCCCACGCCCTGGCTGGTGCCCTCCACGACATACAGCTTGGCCTCCTCGTACGCCTGATTGCCCCTCTCGACGGTCCACCAGCTGTCCAAGAGTCGCCGAATGCTGGCCCGCGCCTTATCCTCCTGGTTCTGTCGAATGTAGAATATGGGAGACTCGATGGCCATGGTCACGCTGCCCAAGGCAATGGCGGAGAAGACAATGCCAAAGATGCCGTGCACCCGATTCACGGCCATGCCCAGATCACCTGCCCACTGCGAGTCGTAGATCACCTGAATGGCGATGCCCAGGCTGAGGCCGTACTGCTCCAAGGCGGCGCAGGTGCCGCGACTATTGCTGCCGGAGATTTCCGCACTGTGAATGATGAAGGGCACCGTGATCAGGCCGATGCCCACGCCGCCCAAGTAGCGGGCGGCCAAAATGGACTCGTACTCGTACGGGGCACTCACAAATATAATGGCATCGATCAGGTTCATAATACTGCCCAAACCCTGTAGGAAAATGGGAGGTACTATTAAGTAGAGTGACACGACAACGTCTCTTATTTGTTTACTCACATAGAAGATCATTTTGGGGAGAAAAGACACCGCCAGAGCGGAAACAACAGCTCCAATGATGAATCCGATGAACCAACTGTACTGGAACTCCAGGGTGGTCGCCACATTTCCGTTCAAATTCCAGCCCAGACCCTGGGCCATGTCCAGTCCAGCACACACGAATGCAAAGGTGGCTAAAAGGGGGTTAGTTTGTATTTTAGAGACAGTCAAAATGGTTGAGATCCCAAATGTTCTCTTGAATCCATCAAACGTACTTCATTTCTAAAGAGCTCTATCAACAATTGTGCTGCAATTCGGTTACAATTGGGATCAAAATGGAATCCAAATAACGACTAGAAAGGCGCCACTGATCACCTGAAACACCTGAATATTGCCATTCTAAATGGGAAAATGATTCTTGTTTACGCTCTCTCTCTCTCTCTCTATCTCTCTCTCTCTCTTCGTGTTCCAAAGAAACTTTTATCAAACGAAGAAGATACATAAATACTTTTATAAATTCCAGCTACTGATTATGATAAGAAACTACACTGATAAACACTGTGACACCGGATTTGTTCGGTTCTGGGTCGTAACCCTGAATACCTAAACAACTTTGGGCACCTCCTTAAGCTGCTCTCTCGCTGTTGGCTCACCTGCTGTTCCAGTTTTCGTTGCAGTTTTGCTCCAGCGACCACCCGGGTTAACGATCACCACATTGACACTGACGTCGGGCGGCGGTGGCGGTGGAGCCCTGCCGGTGGTGATGTACGTGGTCTGCGTTTCTTGTCCAGTGAGGTAATTGGTCTGCTGTACAGTGACCGGCGCCGAGGTCACATATGTTGTGGTCGACATTTTCCTCAGTTATATAAGAAAAGTGCGTTCGCAAATTGAATATCAACCTCAAGAGCCGTTCGGTTCGTTTGATTTGGTGGCTCTGGACGTACTGTTGCGAGTATTTATAATTTTATTTGTACTCGAACTGTAAGTCAGTGCTATCAGCATAATAGATATCTGGCCAACAGATAATTGATATGTTCGTAATATATTATCAGCTGCTAGATACACGCGTATCGTACATTCCTCCTGCTGCTACCACTTTTTACTCTTCGCCCGTGATTCACTGCCGAAATAAGCCTAGATAAGTCGCTGTAAAGGGGCCAAGACACGACTGACTCACTCACTGCCTGGCTGCTTAAATTGATCGTTCCAGTTGGGTCAAAGCTCACCTTCAACTGAGGTGATGCATAGCGCGTATACTGTAGGGGGTACCCCAGTGCAGTGTGTCTCTGGGAAAGCCTAGGCACAGGCCCCCGGAGGATGACTGGCTGCCTGGCTGCCTGGCTGCCAAATTTTTCAATGAGTACAAAGTTGCCTCATGAGCTATGGGTCAGCAATCCGCAGATTGTAACTGATATGCTCGAAAGTATGACATTAAAAGAGGATCAGTGTTCAGTCAGTTTAATCCTTTTCAAGTGGAACTTCAAGCTTTATCAACGACTTTTAATAGAGATTCTCAGACCTAAATCTCATATAAAATTACAACTTTCAAGAGATACTTTTTTCTTTATTATTTTTGTTTATATGGGAAAATTAGGAAGAAATTGAAATGTAGAACTTTATAGTGAAAAATGTTAAAGGAAAACCTGCAATTTTAGCTCTCACAAACAGAGTTTTTAAGAATTTTGTATATCCAATCAATGGCTGTTTTTCCAGCTATTAAAAGCATATGGATAAATCACTGTTTTCGGCACACAAAAATAGGCCCTTGATGAATACTTTCTGAGTGACAAAACGCAAATGCATCTTCCTGGATACTATATTCAAGGACAGTTGCAACAGCCAGCCTAGGCACTGATAAACCAAATCAAAACTTCACTTTTCCTTTTAAATTTGTAACAGTTTATTTAACATTAATCGTGCAAACGATCGTACGACAATTGTTTCTAGTAGGGTCTAACATTATGCACTCTCTGGAAGAGCTCGCCAGCCTTTCGCAACGTCAGTTTCTTTGTCTCCGGCATGGCAATGGCAAAGAAAATCAGGCCCAGCAGCATGATAATGCCCACGATGAGGAAGTACTGGTACAGGTACTCCGTTGTGGGCTTGAAGGCGACTATCACAATGATGTGGATCACCTGTTCGCAGGAAACGATGAGGCCCACCAAGAAGGGTTTGACTCTCATGGGAAACGCCTCGCCCATATAGGGGCAGGAGCTGCAGATGAAGAGTCCGGCAAAGGCCTGGAAGGCGAGTCCCAGATTGCACACCTGCCCCATGTAGTACACGTACGTATACATGTTGGCCGGAGTGGCATATATCCCTCCCATGCCCAGCATTAGGCCGGCCATGCAGAGCAGACCCAGCAGCGAGACGCCCTTGCGCCCGAGATGGTCCACGGCGCAGGCGGCGATTAAGGTGCTGAGGACACGCAATCCACCATACAAATAGAGGGGCCAGGCGTCGACTGTGCCCTCAGAGGTGGCCGTGCTTTCCACGATGGACCAAGTCAGGGGCAGGGAGAGGGTGAACGCCACGAAGCAGCGGAAGAAAAAGAGCTTGCAGAAGGGCATCACGGAAGCGGACAGCTCCTCGCCGAGGCTCCGGCTCTCGCTCTCCACCACATACAGCCTGGCCTCCTCGAACAGCGCGTTCACGGTTGCCGGCAGATTTTCTGCAACGAGCATTTTCTGGCACTGTAGCGCCTTCTCCTCCTGGTTGCGGCGTATATAAAAGATGGGCGACTCCACGGACACCAGGGTAACCAGCAAGCCAATCACCGAAAAGACAATACCCAGAATGCCGTGGGCCAGGTTCGTGGAATCGTCCAGTGACCATTCCGTGTCGTAGGTCACTTGGATGAAGAGACCCATGGCCAAGGCAAGCTGTTCCATTCCTGACTCAAAGCCGCGTTGCAGTGTGGATATCTCGCCGATGTGTATGAGGAATGGCACTGTGATTAGGCCAATGCCCACTCCGCCCACATAGCGGGCGGCCAGCAGTGCTGTGTACTCGTTTGGGGCAGACGTGAAGACAATGGCACCCGTCAGCTGCATAATGCCACCCAGGAGCTGGAGAGAATGCGCATGTCAGAGGAGCGATCCCAGTGGATTGTCGATTACTCACATAATACGCGACCTTTGGCAGGAATGTCATTGTGAGTGCAGCCACACAGGCTCCAATGATGACACCGATAAACCAGCTGTATTGAAACTCCGGCGTTATCAGAAAAACGCCAACGGTCTGATTCCAGCCCACACTTTGGGCCAAGTCCATGCCTCCGTAGACCAGAAACCAGAAAACTGGAAAGCAACAAAAGGATTTGTAACCCAAAATCATTTTCCTTTCCCTGCTAGTTTGTGGATAAACTCACGTACTGAGGGCGTCAGCGATCTACGACTTGTATTCCGCATAAAACGCGTATTTGTAACCGTCACCGTCACCGTCTGGGCTGGCTGTGGCTGTGGCTGTGGCTGTGGCGCACATCCTGGGCTGCCGCATGGGGGAGGTGGTGCAAAGTTGGTTTCCGTTTTGCCGTCGGCGGGAGCTGTTGTTGCATAAGTGACCGTCATACCGCTCACTTTTCGAAGGGTAACCAAAAAGCGGAGCAGTTGAAACTTCTTTCTCGGTGGCTCGTTCGAAACTGGAACTCGCTTTCAGCACTTTCTTCACATTTAATGGCGAACTGCCATGTATCTAGCTGGTATCTAGCTTCCCTTATTGATACAAAGTTTGATAGATAATTACCATTGTAATCAGTTTGTAGATATCGTACAGGTGTCTTCCACTGATTTCATTTGATTCCAGGTACCGATTCGATTAAGTACCTCGGCACTGATTCGTGGTCAATCAGCTACAGGGTTCTTTTTTTTTGTTATCTTTTGCTTCTAGGAAGTCCCCAGGTACGGAAGGAAAATTATGAATAATTGATTGCCAAGTTTGTGAGTTGTCAATTTATTTAGTTACTCGTAGTTTTAACTATTCTTGACCTGACCCAAAGCTCTGCTTTGCAACATGGCGCCTTCTAGCCTCTTCTTTATGCGTGTTGCAGCAACAGTCAAGAGCAAAATCATCTTCGTAATTATTCCACAGAGGCGGGGCAGCACTCAAGTGTTTGCTTGAGTTGTCTCAAATTGCGTAATGTCTGAACTGACATTGCCATTTCCATCCACAGCTCCAACCCATCATCAGCCAGCCAGCCAGCCAGCCAGGCAGACCATCTTCATGGACCAATCTATCTTGTTGCGCCCCAAACTGTCAAATCGCACACATGTCGCTCTGTCTATGGGGGACTGAAGAGTGCCGAGTGCGCACTGGGTGCTGGATAATAAGAGACGACAGGCCGAATGACAGACAGACAGCAGGGCAGGGCCGATGGGGCAGACTGTGACTGTTGCCTGTTTCTTGTCATTTGTCGCTGCTCCTCGACAAATTAGCGCGACGCGACGCCAATTCCAGTTGCAGCCTCCAGTCTTCATTTCCATTTCCATTTCTGAGAGATTCAAGTACATTTTAATGAGTTTATGCATAAAGTTGTCTAATGGCGCACAAATTATGAACGCCACCACCAACATATGGGATACCCAGATACGGCTGTAGATGAAGATAGAAATGGATATATAAATGGAGATGGAGATGGAGATGGGGCAATGGGCACATGGCAAATGGCACATGAGAGCACTTTGCCTTTGCCTGCAGGAGAAACGCTGTGCCTGGCGATGTGTTTGCTGTCTGCTGTGCCAACTAATGGAGCCTAATTACTCTGGCCGACAGACAGCAGCCGTCAAGCGCAACGCGAATCTCTGGGCCAATAAAAATGTATTAGACACAACACACATTCCCGGACTGTCATTTATTCTTTGTCAAATAAACCATATGCTGCTGCTGCCTGCTGCTGCCTAAGCCTTTGCCTCATCCATCCTGCAGCAGACGCCTCTGTACACTCATCTGCAAAGCCTTCTCCCAGCACTTGACCAGCAGGAAGAAATATACACATTTCATGGATACCCACAGCACTCTCCTCCAGTGGTGGAGGTACGTGAGACGCAAAGGCCTGCCGGTTGGTCTGGGCATTCCGGCAGTTCAACAGAAATTTAGTTCACAGAAAATCGAAACTGAGAACTGACACGAAAATCATTTCAATCAACTCCACCAAAAGTAAATACAAACAAAACGTGTGTCAAATATGATTTATTAGCTTTTGGGTGTGAATCATTTTTCTAAATATAAAAAAAAGAGGAAATACAAATATTTATTATTTAAAAATACAAGGAAAGAATATAACAATTATAAGTACATAATAAAAAGTGAGTTAAAAAAAAGAAAGTCTTGCCGAAACCCGGGATTGAACCGGGGACCTTTAGATCTTCAGTCTAACGCTCTCCCAACTGAGCTATTTCGGCTGTTGTATCACCTTCAACATCCAACGCATCGAGTGCTAAGGTATCCCCACAACAAATATCTACGCCTCTTATGAAGGAAACGCAATCTTGCATCAATCTTGGACTGCGCGTATAAATACTCGTACCCAGGTTCACAGTAAAGTTCATTTCATTTCAGTTTTCTATTTATAAATCCCCATTTCTGCGAGCTTTGCCAATTTTGTTTGGGCTGTCACAATTTCTGACATTCGGAATGATTTACGTTGACACTTGCGACGTCTTAATAGCCCCAAAAACAGCAATCTGGGTGGAAAATCTCAATGCAGCTGCAGCTCTGTTTTCTTTATAGCGGAAATTTCAGTGTTGATTTCCTCCGACTGTGGGATAAAGTGTAATAATTACGTTAATTGTAACATTTGTTACATTTTATGGGCACACAGAACATGTAATAATAAAATTGTATTCTCAACGAGGCGTGTCTGAGGATGGGCAGGGGCAGGGGCAGGCCGGGCGGCAAGGTTGCAATTAATTTTCGTTGATTTTTGTTGGCAAACTGTCAGAATGTAAATGTTCGTTCTTTGAACTTGGCAAATGGCAAATAAAAATATTGTATTTAAATATATCGAAAATTCATGGAAAATCAGTAATTGGATTCATTTTTTGTATAATCAAAATCCCTTACTCAGTGCCCGGTAATTTTGTATATTGATTGACACCTCCTGCCTTCTAATATATAGAAATTTCAAGCCCTTGCCCGCACCAACACAAACAATTCCATGAGTAATCGAGTGAATCATTAGGAAACAAGGAAACAAACAATATAATCGGGCATACAATTAATGTTCCGCTGCCCTGCCAAGATCAAACCTCTTGCTGCATTCCTCTGTTATGGAAAGTGCCGCAGTAACCTGATAAATTCATTCGAAATCCAAGTGCCTTGCCCAATGCCTTTTTTTTCAGCTGTCAGAGCAGGGCTCGTGCTCGTGCTCGTGCTCGTGATCGTGTCCCTGTACCTCAAAAGCTGTAGCCTTGTGTGCTTGCCTGGCTATAACCTGATCCCTCACAGGTCTCTGGGAAGAGCACCTTTTGTGCCGAGTGTATCTGTGGCAGCGTGTGTGCTATGCTCGTGTGTTTGTGCAACTAATGCGGCTTCCGTTTGACGCCCGGCGCTGAAAACTGAGCCTCCAAAAACCTCCGAGAAGCTTAGGGCTGGGATCGTCATTGTCTGCAGCCCCAGGTCTCTGCTGCCTTTTTGGGGCTCTGTTAATGATTCACATTCTTGAAAACCGATCGTGTGGCAGACCGAAATTCCTTTGAAAACCAAGCCATGCCCCCACGTCCACGCCCAGTTGTCGGTTTATGATTTATAGCCAGCCGCCTGCCCACAGCAGCAGCAGCAGCAGCAGCAGCCACACATCAGATTTCATATTTCTTGCGAGTGTTTTTTGACCACTGTCCACCATTTAGTCCAAGGCAAGCAGGTTTTATTCTGCTTCTCTTTTTCTCTTTTGTTGCATTTGTTAATATTAATTTAATTATGATGCTTGTTTGTGTGTCATCACCGAGCAAATTTCATAAATTTCAGACCGTCTGGAGGCAGCAATTAATTGTGTTGCATGTTCAGCGGCAACCAAATTGAATTGCGACCAAACAATGACGACAACAGCATTCCTCTGATATGTCAACAGAATGTTTAACATTTTCGCTAGAATTTCTATTTTCGGTAGGTCACAACTTTCAATTGGATTCTCGCCTGTCTGCTGTCTGCTAAGCGGCCAGACCTTGAGAACTTGAAAACACTGAAATGGTGGGGAAATGGTTCGACTACTAGGGAGAAATGTTGAACTTTCAGCTTGAACAGAGTCTCTGGGGGGAAGCACTTTTCAATGAAATAGTTCTCAAGTTAAAGGCTTAAGTGGCCTTTCTACGATAAGAAAGTACAAATTGTGGCAGAAATCGATTTTCATGAAGAAAAGCAATACATAAAACCCTCTCCACACAATCGTACGACATTTGGCATGGCTAGGAATGATATGTAAATGTCAGGCAAGCAGAAAGTCCTTTCCAGAATGGAGTACACCATTCCAGTTGAGGGCGCTTTTTGTGGCCGCAAGTACACTTTTTGCCAGCAGTGCCTTGCCCAATGGCAGTTGCATTTTTACCATTTCCATTGCTAAGTGGGTCACAATTTGATTTGATTTGTTTATGGCACAACAACAGCAACACGAGAACCAAAGAATTGAATGGGACTGAGGCTCTGTTTATGATTAAACTAGACTCATTCCCCGGGGTAATTGCCTTATTAGGGCAATTATAGGCAGAATACGTTGAGGAGGGAGGGACACTCTATTGCCACCTCACTTTTAACCTTTTACCAGCAAAGCGACTTGTTTGAAGCGGATGGGAGAAGGCCTTCTTGGCCATAACTTGTAATTGAGTTAATTGCACAAATTCTTCTTGTTTTTTTTTATGAGTTGCCTTTGCGAAACTCCGCCAGCAGCTGCAAAATAAATTTACTAAAAATCTGTAAAACAAATTACCAAAAGACATGTCCAAATATTAAAAGAAGTTTGTTTGTGGTTCTTTTTTTTGGTTGATTAAGAATGAATAAATTTCCAGTTGGCAATGCAATTGAAGTCTGTTGAATACTCGTAAAACTCAGACTGAATGGAAGCTCTGGTCATTGGCCTCTGCCTGGGAATTGGCCATAAATTAGGGGGAAATAACAGCTAAACTGAAATCACAGCCACTCTCTCAGGTCACTCTCCTTGTTATAATTCTGACAACAGCAACAAAAACACAAACCACAAGATTTATTGAAAACCATTCCCGCAAACAATTTGTTGGCATTGAAATTTATTGTTGAGTTGTCAGCTCCGACGGCGGAACACGATTTGAATGAGTTCTGTTCCGCTATGTCCCGACATTTTGGTGTTTTATTTCTATTTACAAATTGGTCTCCAGTTTGTGGATAACAATGTGAAACATATTCCATGTTCGCTACAATTGATCCACGAAGGGTACAACATTTCTCTTGCCTTCCCTGGATCTCTACCCCACAAGTTGTTTTATTTAAAAAAAGGAAAAACATATTAATCTTTAATTGTTTTGTACAACTTTTCATCATTTTCTGTCTCTTGTCTGAGTGAATTTAATTGGTTTGACAGTTGCTTTTAAGGGGAGTGAAGGGCAACGTTTTATGACTGCCGGAAAAGTAGAAACATTTTTTTAACGATATTCCACCACACAATCTATCATGCACACAGCCACAGTGGCCCTCGCAAATGCTCTGAGAACTGAACTTTCTCGAGTGTTGGCCCAAAAGGGAACTTAAATATTTCAAGTCCATTACAGAACTGTCACAACATGTTCAGGTTTCACTCGGTTGAGGCGAGTTGAGTGTGCAAAACGCAAATTGGCTCTGCCACTCTCCTCCGCTGTCCGCCCTCCCGATCCATCGCCTGTCCAACCCACTTAAGTGACATTTGCCACATGTTTCGGAGACCGAGTTGGGTTCTGGCCACGCTGTTGTAGGCGTTTTCTGTATGTATGTTTTTGGGCTTGTGGGGGGGTACGTAGTACCATTAAAAATGCATAAATCGAACCGAAAAAGCCGCCAGCCGCAAGTAACGAAGATGTTGCATAGACTTCTCGTGTGTGGGAGTGTGTGTTGCATTGCCAGTTGCAAGTTGCTGCGGTCCGCGCATGAGTTAGCTTTTAAATAGTTAGTTAAGCGTTAAATTGACTTGGCGAAGCCATCAACTGGTCACATGTCAGACCCAATCCCCAGTCGCCTGCCTTGTTAATTGCATAATTAAGCGCAAAGTTGGACTTGGACCCGGCTTGGGATTGCTGCCTACGCAGAAACTGCTCCACATTTGCAGACCAAGTGACGTCTGAAAGATTGCCTGCTCCAACTGCTGTTCCTCCTATTTGCCCACTTGAGACGTTGACATCCACGCTAATGAGTCGCGAGTTCCTGGCAATCCGATGCGATAACGTGGAATTTATCATCTCTGCCTCTGTCAGATTAGTCAACTTCAGTCTATTTGCATATTCATAAATCTGCAGACTGCAAACTGGAGAGTGGAGAGTGGAGAGTGTAGACCATGCTCCTGGCCTGCTGCTGTCTGGACCTCAAGTGGACTTCGACTCTAAGCTAATTGAAATCTGTATTTACTTTTAATTGAATGCCTGAATGCTCCAGCCCTATCTGATCTATCTGCCTGCCTCTTGGTCTGCTGGTTTCCCTCTTTTGCTGTGTAATCATTTTGTCTGCTGGATAAGAGAAATCGCCTTATTTTACATGCAATTTGTTTGTCACTCTCTCACATTGCAGCGACTCGTGGCTTGCTTAGTTTATTGCAAAGCGAATTGCACACTCGACACATCTCTGATTTCGGGCATAAAAGAAATGTGACTCAGAGATGAGACGCTCAGTGTTCCTGGAATACCGAAAGGGAAAGAAACAAACAAAAATGTAAGCTTTGGTGCCCTTACAAAAGGGGAAAAGGAGAGACAGCAAGAATCATCCTTCAAGTAAATTTTGCTGTAATAAAATTTTACGATCGCCTAGCAACAGGCACGACTTTTTTGAGTCTGTAGATCGCGGGAATAAGGAATAAGGAATGAGGAATGGCGGCATGGGGGCATGGGGGATCGCAGCAGAAGGACACAAAACAAAAGTCATGAAATTCATGAATGAATCAGGAAATCGTGTTGGCGTTCGTACTCCTCCAACCGATCCTCTCTCCCGCTCGATCCCTCATTCGACGGCTTCTTCAGCTGTGGGACAAGTTTTGTGTTCTGTTTGTTGCCAGGCCGAGAACAAGTTCCCTGTGGTCCAGGTCCAGGTCGGGACACCCTCCTGTCCTGCTCTTTGTGACCAGTCTGCGCATGCGTGACGTCTGTCAGCAGGCGGCAGGAAGATGCCTCAACATACCAAAACAAAAAAAAACAGAAAACATAAAGAAAAGAGCCAGTTTGAGAGCCTCTTTTGGCTGCGGTTTTCGCTGGTTTGGTTTATTTGGTTTGTTTGCCAAGAAACATGTTTGTTTCCCTTTTTAGGGCCATGCCATCCATGGACGCTGCGGTTGGGTCATGCTGGGCTCAAACTTGTTCCCAGTCCCCATGATTTGCCGAACTGCATTTATAAGCGAGTGAACAACGAGAACAGCCTTGGCGAAATAAGGAAGTTTCGTCTGTCAAGTGGCTGTGGGGTGCTTCCAGCTGCTTTCTGCCACTTCAGCTGCAGCTTCAGCTTCAGCTTCAGCTTTCTTTCTCTTCCGTTCGATTTATATTTTGATGGTTGGAAAATGCAGCATAATTGAGCAGAAATACAAAAAGGCCTGGCGAAATATTGCATTTGCAACAGAGACTGGAACTCCTCATCCATTGTGCCACGTTCAAGTGGCTGCCATTCATTTTGCATCCATTGCCGCCGGATGTTCGGGGCATCTCCAGCTATCAGCTATTTCTGTTTGCAACATGCAACCTGTCTCGTTTCTTTTTCCCCTTTTAAACCGACATTTTGTTTGTCTTTTGGACTCCACACCCAAAAAGCTTTTGGAGGAAGTATTTTTTGGGTGCGATTATGCAACAGTCAGGCTGTGACTGCACTTGAAACGGAGTTTGAACTGGGTTGGGTTTCGTTCACATTCAGATTTGAAGAGATATTCGCTTAGATGAAGACTGCAGAGAGCACTTTGAAGAGTCAATTAATGAGCTAAGGTTTAAGAAAAGAGAAGAGAGAGCGGCAAAGAGTCAGAGAGCATGCCGAAAAGAGAGAGCATCCGCTCCTACTCAATGTTTTTTGGGAAGCTCTGTTTGTCTTTTAAAGAGATATTCCACCTGGCACTTCACTAGAAGTTGTTTCAAATGATTCTCCATTGACCACACCAAGGTCATGTCAATGGTTGAGTGCCCTTACAGTAGAAGGTCGAATCTTTATGGGTTTTGCTTGTACTTAAAGTCGCGGAGGACAGCGGTTTACGTTACCATTTCTGGCAATTACAATCCAACGAAACGGGCCATAAATCACACTTAAAGAGCACTTTTTATAGCCTCCGACTTGCACTCAATGAAATGCAGGTTACTCGAGTAGGTAGGAGGTGGGAGGTGGTTCGGGTTCCGGCTCAATGCCAAGTGAGCATAAAAGTGCACAAGAAAACGTACGTGGATTTGGCCACAGGATAAGGGAAAAGGGAATGACTGTGGCTGTGGCTGCAGTTTTCACTTAACGGCAAGTGGCACATAAATTTCAGCAAGGACGAAAATACACTCGAGCGGGAACAGAGAAGAGGAGTGGGTGCCGGTTGCAGGGTGCACAACCGTTGACAGTCGCGTTGCCGACATTTTCTGATAAGTGGACAAAATGTGCATCGCTCTGCTCTGATTTTTGGTTGACTTTGCCGCTGCCGCTGCCTCTGCCATGCTTTGGGGCAAACAATCTTGGCAAATATTTGGTGGCAAGGGCACTCGAGTCGAGGCATCGTCGAGGTCAACTGGTGCATGAAATTTCGCAGCAGCTGCAAAAAGAGAAAATCCCAAAGCAGCTGCAACTGGAGCCTGGGGAGCCACGGGATGCCCTGAGATTGTCGATTGTCGAGAGGCGCACACTTGAGTTGGCCAAAATCTCAATTAAAACATCTCAGAAATGCCTTCACTCGGTGACTAAATTTATTCTCTATCTTAATTTTTTCAGTAGACAACCATGAGATACTCTGCAGGCGACTGCTGTGCGGTTTGAACGCATCTTCCGACGCTCAGAATGAGCGCCTAGAAACGTTCCTTCCTCACAAATACTGAACAATGGGTCCCTGCAGCAAGCACCTGGCAATTGGCTGCCTGATACTCTTCCTTTTTGTGCTGCAAGTGCTCAGCAAGGAGCAGTCAGCATCCGGCGAGCCATCGCCCAGCGGCCAACACCGACAGCAGCATCATCGCAGCCGTTCGGGCAAGCGTTTCTCCCGCGACTCGAATGGACCACGCGAGCGGCGACCCAACATCATACTGATACTCACCGATGACCAGGATGTGGAGCTGGGATCGCTGAACTTTATGCCGCGCACGCTGCGACTGCTGAGGGATGGTGGGGCCGAGTTCCGGCACGCGTACACCACCACGCCCATGTGCTGTCCGGCCCGATCGTCGCTGCTGACGGGCATGTATGTGCACAACCACATGGTGTTCACCAACAACGACAACTGCTCGAGCCCCCAGTGGCAGGCCACGCACGAGACACGCTCCTATGCCACGTATCTGTCGAATGCCGGCTACCGCACCGGTTACTTCGGCAAGTATCTGAACAAGTACAACGGATCGTACATACCGCCCGGGTGGCGCGAGTGGGGCGGGCTGATCATGAACTCCAAGTACTACAACTACAGCATCAATCTGAACGGGCAGAAGATCAAGCATGGCTTCGACTATGCCAAGGACTACTATCCGGATCTGATAGCCAACGATTCGATTGCATTCCTGCGCTCCTCGAAGCAGCAGAACCAACGCAAGCCCGTGCTGCTCACAATGAGCTTTCCAGCGCCGCACGGCCCAGAGGATTCAGCACCGCAGTACAGTCATCTCTTCTTCAATGTGACCACACATCAGTGAGTAAACAGATCCTTTTCCCTTTCTTTCCTAACTCTGTTGTGCTCACAGCACGCCCTCGTACGATCACGCTCCGAATCCGGACAAGCAATGGATCCTCAGAGTCACCGATCCCATGCAGCCCGTGCACAAGCGCTTCACCAATCTGCTGATGACCAAGCGCCTGCAGACACTCCAGAGTGTGGATGTGGCCGTGGAGCGGGTGTACAACGAGCTGCGGGATCTCGGGGAGCTGGACAACACGTACATTGTGTACACCTCGGACCATGGCTACCATCTCGGGCAGTTTGGCTTGATCAAGGGCAAGAGTTTTCCCTTCGAGTTCGATGTGCGAGTGCCGTTCCTCATCCGTGGCCCTGGCATACAGGCCTCCAAGGTGTAAGTGTTTGCAGCCCATGGAGGCAGCCTTTCCCCTAATTATAGTCATTTTTAACTCCCTGGCAGTGTCAATGAAATCGTGTTGAATGTGGATCTGGCTCCCACTTTCCTGGACATGGGTGGCGTACCCACGCCCCAGCACATGGATGGGCGCAGCATTCTGCCCCTGCTGCTCAGCAGGAATCGCGCTGTGCGGGATAACTGGCCCGACAGCTTCCTAATCGAGAGCTCTGGGCGCCGGGAGACGGCCGATCAGATTGCGGAGTCGCGTGCAAGGCTCCAGGCCGAGCGCCGCAGCATGAAGCTGGCCAACAGCTCGCTGCTCGAGGACTTCCTAGGCGGAGGCACTACCCTCGGCAGCACTGCTGCAACGCTAATGAGCTCCAGCACCACGCAGCAGCAGGATGAATTCGATGAAGACACGGACACTGACTTCGAAGAGGATGAACTGGATGGGGATGGTGCCATGGACAGTTCAGCGGCTGCTTTGGACGACGAGGATATGGAGGATGCCGCTGCCGAGGAAGACGACGACGAACTGGAGGAGCAGGAGCTGCTGCAACAGCAGGACAACAATCTGCCAGTGGCTCCGTACATAACCAAAATGATGCGCCTCAACTCGGAGTGCTCCGATCCGGCGCTGCTGAAGAACTGCCTGCCCGGCCAGAAGTGGAAGTGCGTCAGCGAGAATGGACGTTGGCGGAAGCACAAGTGCAAGTTCCACGTAAGTAAAGCAGCCAGAAAATGTGCAAGGATGAAGCTCAACTTATATTCCCTTTCAGCTGCAGCTCGAGCACCAGTTGGCGGCCATGCCCCGCAAGCAATACCAAAGGAATTGTGCCTGCTTCACCTCGGATGGCCTGGTGTACACCAAGATCCGAGCACCCTCTGCCAGTGCCCATCGCCTGAACAAGCGCACGCACCATGGCCCACCGACGAAGCGCAGGAACAAGCGGGAGGTGGTCGTCTATCACAGGGAGATGCCCTACGAAATGGAGGAGCTGCTGGATCTGCATCAAACAATCGATCTGCTGGCAGAGCACAGCCATCGCAGCAAGCGAGAGGTGTCCGCCAATGGCAATGGCAACTCCAACGAAACGATTGCTCAGGTCATCCAGCAGATACAGACCACACTGGAAACCCTGGAGCACAAGTTCAACGAGCACGAGCTGCACAGTCCCAGCGGAAACTCCAGCTCCAATTCCTTTGTGCGTGGCGGAAAGTTTCCCAAGACTGGCGGGCGGGTGGGCCATCGCTGCTTTGTGGATGCGAACACGAGCAAAGTGAACTGCTCGGATGTGATCTACGACGATGAGAAGACGTGGCGCACCTCACGCAACCAGATCGACATGCTGATCAAGCTGCTGAAGGACAAGATCGGCAGGCTGAAGGAGATGAAGAAACTGCTGCGGGAGAGCAACAAGCAGGCATTGGCCGCAGGCAGACGCAACGAGAGCCGCAGGCGCAACGAGGCAAATCTTTTGGGCGAGACTGGAGCTGGACCAGAGTTCAACATGAGCTACTTTACGGGTGCTACCAGCACGCCACGGACCAGTGTGGGACAAAAGGAGATCTTCCGCGGCTTTGGCAGTGCCGCCGTCTTTGACTCCACGGAGCAGCAGCAGCCGCAGACGCCGCGCTATGCCTCACGCGCCGAATGCTACTGCGAACCAGATGCGGGAGAGAAGTAAGCAGTGATCAGCAGTGGCCAGAAGATATCACATAATTCATTTCCCGTAATCCCACAGCTATGCAGACTCCAAGGAAATGGCTCGGGAGGCGCGGCGCAAGCTCAAGGAGGAGCGTCAGCGGAAAAAGGAGCGCAAGCGGATCAAGAAGGCCCGCCTGGAGAAGGAGTGTCTGTCGGAGAAGATGAACTGCTTCTCGCACGACAACCAGCACTGGCGCACGGCTCCCCTGTGGAACGACAGTCCCTTCTGCTTTTGCATGAATGCCAACAACAATACGTACTCCTGCCTGAGGACCATCAATGCCACCCACAACTATCTCTACTGCGAGTTCACCACGGGCTTGATTACCTTTTACAACCTGACCATAGGTACGTTTGGGAAGCCACTGAGATTTACTGCAGCTAATCTCTTCCCTGACTCATTCTAGATCGCTTTGAGACCACGAATCGTGCTGCCAGTCTGACGCCAGGTGACAGGGCCCACATGCACGATGCCCTCGAGCAGCTGAAGGGCTGTCGCGGCCGCAGCTGCAGCGTACGCAGACATCAGGCACACCTCCTGGAGACTGGCTCTGCTCCACACTTGCCTGCAGTCATCAATCAAGTGCAACGCAACAACAAACGCAAGCACTGTAAGTAGCAATTTCTTGATTTAAGTTTTTGTTTAACCATTTCCTGTTCTCTGCAGCTCCTTTGTCGGCCAGTGTGGGCAACTTTGGCTTTGTGGGCAGTCGACTGGACATGGATGGGCTGCCACCGTTCAAGCGTCGCAAGCTATCCAAATACCACAGGTGAGTGAGTGAGTTGGAGTGTCCATCAAGTGTAGGGAGGCCTGGAACGAAACTTTCTTTCTGCAGATGGACTGGCTCGCAGCAGACGCACCTGAAGAGGCGCCCCTGGAAGCAGCAGCAGCAGCAGCAGCAGCAACAGTCCAGCCGGCCTATGCCCACGCAGGCAGCAGCCTAGACGGATAAATGGACAGCTGGAATTGGAGTCTCAGTCCCAGTGAATACACACATATCCTATGCGTACCTTGCTTGCCACCTGCCACCCTGCTCCTCCCTCTTTGGTTAGCCCTCACATTGGAATTCTTCATACATAAATAAGACTGTGTTTTTTTTTAATATAATCCATCTACTTATGTTTAGTCTCATTTCGGTCCTACGGCTTGCAATATTTACTGTTTACGACTTTTAATTAGCCCTAAGCCTGAGAGCCCCTTAATTTGTATATAAATTTAAACGTGGAGCCACCAACAGCTATCGAATACGACTATGAACTATACACTAAATAAATTATTTAGCGAAATTGGTTACAAGTTAAATTAGTTGAGTAAAACCTAGCAAAGAAATCGATGAACTGTAGCGAATCCAAATCAATTTTGCATTTATTGGCCATCCATCATTGCTGAATGAACAATCAAAAGCGCTAACAATTTGTTGTCACTGTGTATTAGAGAACTAAATCCATATACATACACATTTATGCCCAACTAGTTACGTTCTAAGTGTTAAGTCGCCTCCCCTAATCCAGTCGCCCCCAAACCCACAGAGAGCCACTAAAGGCCTTTCTGTAGCAGCCGCCGCGCTTCGCCAACGAACAAACATACAGCATGTTGTATCTGCCACGTTAATAATGTCATAAAATTAACTTTGAAGTTTAAACACACATAAATACATATTTCAATTCAACTAGATAACAAAACAAAGCAAAAACAAAATAAAGAGTTGCAAATAATAAACACTTCTCGCACATTTGTTGATTAATTAATCTATTTTCCTGCTCTATGATCCTTTAACTCAGACTGTAGACTGGCTCATCGATGCATCAATTTATTCCACCATAGCAACCAGCCTGTGTCAGAGATCACTGACAACCGATTCGCTTGTGTAGCATACTTTCGGGGGCAAATGTAAAAGCCGGCACAATGATCAACTGTGTTTGATGAGGATTTCGATGTTGTTGAGGCCTCCTCCTTGACCACTAGCGTTTTCAGAAAGAAGCCAGTATCCAGTGATCAGGATTTGCATCACCGGCAACAGGACTTGCATTGGACAATGACGGGTTGCAATCGCCCGACTAAAGAGAAGCGATTCGGATGATGATTGATCGCTTTTATAGCTGTTGGATGAAATTAAAATTGGTATTAATTTAAACCTTAAACTTTCCGTTAGCATTCATACATTATCTCACCGCAAACGAGACAAACAGAGGGAGAGAAATGGGCATACCCTGGCTGTTGATCAGCTATTGATACAGATCAAGATTGTAGACACCTTTCCATTATAGTTTACGTATATCTTTGATCCGATTTTGTGTTGTGGGCGGCTTTCTCTTTGTTCATATGTTTTTTCCAAGAACACACGCTCCCAGTAGACTAAGTTCGAGAGCCTGCGGGGGAGAGGTTCAAGTGGATCATCACGGGTGTAATCAGCTAGAAGCACTCGTAAGTATTAGAGATTAGGCGTTCCGCTGAGCTTTTAGGCCTCTTAGTATATGGTTTTGCAACATTGTAAGGTGTGTGCAATTCGGAAAGATAGCCATCATGTTAATGATAACAACAGCTGGAAAGAGAGAGAAATTGGGAAAGACCCTCTGTTCTGATAAGGCTAAGGTATCCAGCCCCAATGCCGTTAGAAACAGCCACGCATGTGGGGGACGGGGACGGGAACGGGGACCGGAGCGAGCATCATCAAATGTAAATAAGATCGGGCCGTATCGCTAATTAAGTTGCGGAGATGTTTTCAATCGCTGTCAAATATTGTTACCGCCTGCCTGACAATTCACACTTGACACTTGACGCGCTAATTTCCGCTGCAATCGGGGCAGCGCCGGGGGGCATAGGACGGGCCAGGTGCTGCCACTGAGGCTGAGTGCTGACAGCCAGTTTTGGGGCATATACAGAGAACAGGCGAGTGTGCACACTTATCTCCGCTGAAACCCAACACAAAGAGAGATAGTGCCAGCGAGAGAGAAACAACAGAGCGAAGTCGAAACCCGTCCACAATTTTTTGTGGAGATATCGTGTTAAAATTGTACGCAAGCAACAAAGTTATCAGCTTGAAATTGTACTCGGATTTATGGTGGGCTATGCGACAAACTGCCAAGCGATCACATGATCACATGCAGACCCAGAGACCTGACAACAAGGCCTCGTTCAATAGCCCCGCCCCGCCCAAGCCACTTTACGATTTGCACACTTCAATCGAGAGATATCGTGCTGAAATTTCACAATGCTTAGAATTCTGTTTGGCTCCGAACGGGGCCTGGCTTCGCTCGGTTCAATCTCGATGAGGGGGAACTTTGTGCCTTGTCTGAGCACGTACTTTGTTATGTTCCAGGCATTCTATTCAAACTCGCAGAGAAAAAACAGCCACCAAGTTTATAACACATTTTATGGGGGTATTAGAATTAGAATTTAAAAAAGATTCCCGAGCTCAGGAGAAATCATTACGGACTGGAGACTTTCTCACAGATAAAATATTATCATGTCCAACAGTTCAGATCTACGTTGGCGTTGAAGATGCCAACCTGAAATTTGCTACATTTTCAACCAAATTTCAGTCGTTTTCGCAGAGAAATAACACATGTAGAATTGATTGATTAATTGCGATTTTTTAGGCACCCATAAATCAGTTGAACTATTTAATTTTCAATAAATTACTTCGACACTAATGGATCCTCCTAAGGCAGGAAAAAGTCACCCGCCAAAGAACGTCATAAAGTTTACACCATTGTGCTAATTGTTGTCAAATTGGGACTAATAATTCGAAATGTGTGGATTGAATAGGAATAATAAGATCGGTCGAAAGACACGTCGTCTTTGTGTGACAAACTTTGTTGTTTGTTCACGAAAATTCAGTCAAACAAATCTAATTTTTCGATTGAAATTAAATTCCACTGAAAGTTTTCCTTCAAAAGATCATCCTTTGGGTGGCTCTACCATATCCATTGTAATATGAAGATTCCAAGTTATAGTCGTAAATATTAAAAAAAATGTACATGCTCTTTATTTTCTAGATAAATATATATAAAAATTATAAATATATCAAACATGCTGCTAGGCAGCTTATGTCCTAAGTGTCCTTCTTGGCTTCAAGCAGTTTTTGGGTCACCTGCCGCAGGACCTGCAGCTGCTGCTCGTAATTGTGGACAGCGGCCAGCTCCTCGGCATGATTGTGATGTGGTGGCAGGTGGGCGTGATCATGATCGTGTCCGTGGTCGTGTGAGTGACCGCCCGAACCCGACCCTGTCTCAGTCTCATGGTGATCATCTTTGCTGCCCGAGCAGCTGCTGTGGCTATGGCTGTGTCCGTGTCCGCCACTGGCACCTGGAAAAGGAAAGGGAAGGTGTTGTGGTTAACTGACCAATCTCAAACTTGAGGAAAAGCTGAAAAGTGTGTCGATTGTTATCTGAGGAACCCAATTTCTGCCCTGATAGAAAACCGATTAGCGATCACTTTCGGAAGTAGTAGCTGTATGACGAGGAGTAAAAAGCAAAAGCAAACTGCATGCCCATTCCATAACAATTACCTTTCGCAATATGATTTATGGGCGCTTCGATGGCCCCCGCCCTTATCTACTGTATTAATATTTACGTATCCAACTTATAATGAACTTGGGCACATATTCCACTTCGAACTAATCTCACAACCTGCTGGCATAAAATTATACGTGTAAATATATCTGTTGGGTTGGTTGAAGGGTTGTGTTGTGCTGTCGTTGATGGTGTGGTTTTGATCTCTCCTCGGGTACTTTTTTTCATGGGCAACCCCCTAGCTTCGATTGGATGACAGATGATGACTTCACAGCTGTTGCGGGAATTTTTTGATCCCCCTGCTTGCCAGACAAGCAGAGAGACGTGTGTTCGTTATGCAAAATAAACCGCAGCAAGGTCTGTTACAAGGCCAACCACGCAGCGGCCGATAAAGTGTATGGCAAGAGTTGTCTAGAACCTGTTCCCGAAGCGCCCGAATCGATTCCGGTTGAAGAATAACACTTGACATCTCATCTGACGGATGGGATTATATGGGAGATACGGTTATACTACGGACACGATACTCACTGAGCTGCTGGAGGCCGAACATGACGATGAAGCCCACAAAGAGGGCCAGGTAGGCACGCAGTCCGGATCGGTTCTTGGACAGAATCTCGAAGAAAACCACATAGATGAGTGTGCCGCAGGCAAAGCCCTGCAGAATGGCCGACGCCAGATTGGGACCCGTGTCCTGGCCATTGCTGATCAGGATACCGATGCCGATGCCCAGGGGACTCACAACGGCGAATGTCAGCACGTACAGGATGGCCAACGTGAGGCGAGTGCGGGCCACAATCAGCTCCACGCCCACACAGAAGGCCAGCACAAGCTTGTGGGCGGACACGGCACCGAACATGAACCACACGGAGCTGGCGGAGCTCTCCAGGCCAATGGCCATGCCCTCGAACAGTTCGTGGAGGGACAGTGCCGAGACAATGAAGAGTCCGCGCAGGGAGGAGGTCAGCATGTCCGCCGAGGAGGCATCGTCCATCACGACTGGTAAATGGCTGTGTCCGTGTCCGTTTCCGTGGCTGTGGCCATGATGGTGCATGTGGGTGTCGTGGGGCAGAGCCTGCTGCTGCTTGGCCCCAAACTTCTGTTGCTCGAGATCGTTTTGCAGGAGATTCTGCACGGAGAGGGTTCCCATCTCGGATGGCGCAGTGCTACCTCCATTTTCTGTTGGTGCACTAGGCTCATTCGTCTTGAGCAGATGGCTGTTGCGGATGCTGTGGCCACGCTCAAAGGCCGCTCCCGCCGGATCCTGCTGGTGCCTGTCCACATACGTGTGCATGGCCTCCTCGATGAAGTACATCAGAAAGAAGCCGCAGCACATGAGAAGCTCCGCCAGCGGGAAGGTGAGCTCTCCAATGACGCCGCACTCCTGAAGCTGCTCCACAACCTCCTGGACTTCTGGCAACAAATGCAGAAAGGTGGTGGCCAGCAGGACTCCTCCGCCAAAGTACAGGAGGCACTTGACCACTGTCGCCGATCGGGCATTTGTCTGGTTCTCCGTCCAGTGGTAGCATCGATTGAGCAGGAAGGGTATGGATCCGCAGATGGTGCTGGCAAAGCAGAGCACCACCATCGAGGTTACCTTGGCTATCAGCACTCCGCTCGTGTCATCGTCATGGTCGTGATCGTGATCGTGGTCGTGGTCGTGGTTGTGGTCGTGCTCGTGATCATCCTCGTCGTGACGAGCCGTCCAGGGGCTGTTGCTTCCATCAATTTGCAGGAAGCATTTCAGAAAATTATTCACTTGCGTTTGATTCATTTTCGCGGCTTCTTTTGTATTGATTTCGTATTGTTTGACTTTTCAGCTCTCCGGAACACACAACTCTACGCTCTGCGCTCGTCTCTGTGCTCTCCTCCGGTCTGGTCTCTTCTAGACGTTCAATTCTCTTGGCTTCAATTCGCCCAGCAGCAGCGGTGGTAGCGGTTCTGTGCTCGGAATGTCAATGTTGGGCTGGGTTGTGGTTTACCATTTAGTTGTTTACACTTCGACTCTAATTGAAACTTCTCCAGTTGCAGTTGCAGTTGCATGCCGCTTCGACCTGTACTGACTTGAATTTTCTTTCACTTTTCGTGCTAGTGGGAAACTTTTCCTTTACAGCATTTGAATAAACTACTTTGAAAGGCGGTTTATTGGCTGGTTGAACTGCTTTTCTTTGAGGCGCAGAGGTGTGTTGTTTAACGCTTTAAGCAGTCTCGCCGACTGTTTTGTTGGACTGTCGTTGGATGGGGAGGGAGTCAAGTTTTGGTAGTTCATTTGAAGCTTTCTTGCGCGCCGCCTCTCTCTCTCTCTCTTTCTCTACCTCTCTCTCTCCAGCAGACGTGAGATGCAGGTTAAACAGTTAATATAACACTCTTAAAGCTCTCACTGCTCATTGCTGGCGCTCTTTTTGCCGATCTCTACCCGCTCCATCTCGAACGTTCACCTGTTGAATGTTGCCGTTGTTTCTCCGTAATAATAATAATTGTCTTGGGCTCAGCATAAAACACACATACACAGCATACACACACTCACACACACACACACACTGACTCATTGCCGTTTGGCACAATGCACAAAGGCCAGATGGAGCTTGAGTTCGCGCCCGCGCCCGATTGAGTAATTGCATCCGTTCACTTTTTCTAGCAATAGCATTAAAAGGCGCCTGACCTTAGCCAAGATTTAGGATCAATTGAGCTGAACGCGACTTTTACTTAAAGCCAACGTCAAGAAATAACAACAACTGCTACAGTTTACAGCTTTGCTGCGGAAATTAAAGCTCTGCGGTTGCTGTCCCGGCTATGCGCTCGCTCGTGTAACTCTAACGGTAATTATGTATGCTCAACTGACGGTAGTCGTCTCGCTGTTTGTAATTAATGTGTCAACTAGTTGTGGGAAGTAACTGTATTTGTAATTATTGGTCAGGTAGAAAATTGTAAAAACAAAAATGTACCTAAGCTATTTAACTGCGCAACGGTTTTTTTGACTGGTGAAACCTTATCTTATGGAAACAAAAGCTGAAGTCCATGTAGCTGTCATATTAGGATTTTGGGTCGTTCCTTCGGTGTTTGGTGCATCCATTAGGATATATTCATTGGGAATCCCATAACCTCATACCCATTCGTACATATGTACCTGTGTAGAATAAACAAATATGAGCATCTTTCCTACCTCACTAAAACAAAGTGGACAAGTACACGGATCAGATTAAAGCGTGGACAAATCGTGAGCTGTTTGTTAGAGATCGCATGATCCATAAATTAGGATAATCAACGATCCACGTGATTGGTCTAATTCTTTTGTTTTCTAGTGCGAAATGCCCAGCTAATCAATTATAAGTTCAATCTTATACAATACAGTTGTATTTCCATTAATTAGCTTAAGTATCTTTATGAAAAAAATCAGTCAAAACACACGCAGTTCTTCAATAATTTCTCATTTATTTTGTTCTCATTTTTTCGCTTGTTTTTTGTTTAATTTTTTACTTTCTTTTTTGTTGTTTGTTTCTCCATGTTATTTGCTTAAGTTTTTTATGTTATTTTCTTTTGTTTTTGCTGTTCATGTCATACTTATAAATTAGTAATAAATCATTTTTTATACAATATTTTCTTTTGTTCTTTCGCTTTCTTACGAAATGTTGATGCTGAGATAACAATTCGGTTTGGAAAATTTGCTTTACATTTTGTTTATTTCCGTTTGCATTCTGCATTTTCTTTTCAATACTCTTGTTTTAAAACTGCTTAGCCGCAGTTAACAATGTTAACTGCTTTACCTGCAATTATCAAAGGCTTGCGTGCAATGCTTGCTAGCCAACCGTTAAACGCTTTTTTGTTTCTTTGTGTGTGTTGTTCTCTTCGCTCCGCCAGCACTGCTTCGTTCTGGCCTTCACGGCTTGGTGTATGTGTGGTCGCAAATATGTAAATTTCTTCTTTTCTTGAATATATATAAATCAATGAATGTTTTATGTTTCTTTCCTTTCTTTTATCAACATTTAAAGTACATTATTTATGTATAATCTGTTATGATTTACTTTAGTTATGTATATATGTATATGTATAAACTAGTGCGAATTTTCTTGTTCTGCTTGACTGCTTTCTTTTTCATATTTTACGTTTTAGAAATATTCACTTTAGCATAATTTGTTTATCTTTAATATTTCATATATAATACAAATGATTTTCATTTACCTATACAAGAAATTTGGATTAATTTCATATACTATTTGCAATTTGTTATTCATGTAAAATTTGAAATTTGATTCTGTTAGTTTTCTTTTTTTTTTTTTTTTTTGGTTTTCGTTTTTTATTGCTAGAAAGATTGCAAAAAACACTTTAAGTTTGCTTTGTTGTAAAGTTAACACTATTTTTTTTTATTTATGGTGTATGTATATTTGTTATAAGTATAAAAAATTTGTTTAAAATATATATATATATATATATATTTTTATATTCCACACTTGTATGATCTATTGATTTTAGCTGTACTTTTTCATGTTTCATGGAGAAGTGTAGAGGAGAAACAAATTCGTTTAGAGTCGGAGATGTGTGAGGGTTGTGGGGTAAAATTTAATTTCATTTCTTTGGGAGCTTGGGTGTAGTGCAGGCAACTTTCTCAGTTAGTTTAGTACTCGTATCACGTAATATAAAAATAAGTGGATCATTACAGTCTGTTTTGTTTTTTTTTTTAACTATAGAGGAGTGATTGATCTCTCTGTGAAAACTCGGTGCCCACTTATTATCCGCTAAATGAAACATTGACCTAAGAAAAAATTCGCAAAAATAAATGCACAAAACGAATTCAGCTACCAAGAGGAATATCCGAGGGACTGGGACTCCTACATTTTGATTTATCCAATAGATGCGCTACATAGATTTGTGTATATATATCAAAAGATCTGCTCGCGTGTGTATATGTATGTCCATAGATAAGCATTCGAAAAGTGCATCCAAAAACAGAGCTAAACCAGAGCTGCCTACGCTAATGGGGAAGATGAGGATTGGATCTATTCGAATGGGATCTTGGGTTCTCGGGAATAGTGTATCTGCTGCGTGTGTCAGAGCGAGAGAGAGGCATACAATTATACTATATATTTGATATATACGTATTATGTATATAAGTTGGTTTCGGTTTCCTATATATCCGCGTACATATGCATTAGTTTTGAATAGTTTTTCAAAAATGAATTTTATTTTCGCTTTCGTTTCTTTCATTATAATTTACAATTTGTTGTTGGTTGCGTATAAATATGTTCTTTTTTTTATCAATTACTTTCTGTTCCTTCCTTCCTTTTTCCTTTCTTTCTCTTTTTTCTCATTTAATGATTCTGCACTAGTTTCTCCTTCTTCGTTTAAATATATATATTTTTGTATATAAATATTTTAAGTGGTTTTCCTTTTTGTTGCATGTATGTGTGTGTCTGTGTATATATTTGTTATAAGGTTCCTTCGGTCAGGAGTAATGAGGGTTTGTGGGTTAGGTTTAGGATTGGGGTTTCCTTTCTAGTTCCGTCGATGCTTGAGGATGGGTAGGGAGCTGCCTGGCTGCTTGTGTGAATGATTCTTGGACAGGTTTCTGTTTCTATTTCGGTTTTACGTTTGAATTTTGCTTTCTTTTTTATTTGTAATAGCATTAATTAATAATAATATAATTAATAATTATAATAATTTATATAATAAACGCAAAATTGGTAAATAATAAAAATAATAATAAAATACAATCATTACATTAATTAATCAAAACTTGTTTCATTTTGTTTGTTTGTTTGTTTTAGTGTATATTTTTATGTTTATATGGTTGGTTTTGTTGTGGTTTTTTATTTTTGTATTGTTTAATGCTTGCGCATTCTCTGTTCTTGTTTAATGTTTTGTTTGTAGGGGTTTGTAGTGTGTTTGTTTTTTGTTTTTTTTTTTATATTTATATAAATTACAACGGAAGTGTCGGTGTGTTTGTAGTTGGTGTGGGCGTCAGCATCGACGCGGATGGAGGATAACGCAACGTGTGCTGCGACGTTGCCTGCTGGATGTAATCCTGACTCGGATTATTCAATACGCTATCCCGTGAGTTTGAATGTGAAGTGGCGCGCAGCAGGGTGACTGCCTCGCGTTCCGGACTACATTGTACACCGTCTAGTCATTTTTGGCGCGTCGATTTCTTCTTCTTTCGTTTAAAGAAACAACAACATCTGGAATATAAGGAACCACTGGAGACAGTTAACCAAGGGAGAGAAACGAGATTGGATACGGAGGGGGAGTGGAGTGGAGTTGAGTTGAAGTTGGTGTTGGATACGGATAGGAATTAGGGAGAGAGAGAAAGAGAAAACGGAAAAACGGAAGATGCGCATTAAAAACGACAAAAGCAACAAAAATTTCACTCATTAAGTTGATCCATTAATCGATTTATCGTAGGAATCTAAACTAAATGTATCGACAGAAAGTGACATATCGGTCGATAAGCGATGAATCTGTATGTGAATACATGAAAAATATTGGTCCATTTGGTATCTGTTTATCCATCATATTTCAAAATTGTTGAATTGAGAATCAAAATTGAATTCATATAAAATTAAATCCGTTTCTCAGCCCATTTTTCGATGCATCTATCTAGAAAACTATCTATCTATCGACATATCGATTAATTGATCACTTAAATAAAACATACTTTGTTTCATCGACAACTTCGACTTCAGGCTGCTGTGTGATGGGCGTGTTTGAGTGTCCGGCCGTGGGATCGTCCGGATTTAGTTCGCCATTCGTCGAACTCACAACCTGGAAACAAGGACAGAAAAAGATGATGCACAAAATATTAATTATTAGTCTCCACTTGTCATCAACTATTGCACTAAACATATAGTTCATACACATGGTATATTTATATATATATTCATTTATATTTAATTAGAAATATATATAAATACATTAACTGGTGATAATACATAATTAGACGATTTACACTTTATTTTGATTTCTTGTTAGCACTAGTCAAAATGAAATCCTTAATCGAAATACAATTTAAACAAAAAAAAACCAGACTTGGAAAGGTGGTACACACACCACATAGAACAAAACTGTTATACAGATCTACAAAACCAAACTGGACTACGTGTGGGTAAATTTTTGAGGGGTTCTATTTTTTGCAAACGAGCGATTAACCATCAATATCTGTCATGAATTTCCCTTGCTGGACCTACTACAGAGATTGCCATTGAGCGTCGCGACTCGTTTGCAGATTACAATTACTGGCACAAATCAACAAACACACACACAGATCCTGCTACACATAGATGATGTATGACAGAACACAAGTAGACAGACTGGATGAACATAGTTTAGCAAATACCTCTCGCTGAGGAACAATAGGAAACCCTTTGGGCATATTTCGGAGGGTAAATTCGTTTATATTTGAGTTATAGTAGTAGAAGTAGAGTAGTGCTAGTAGTGTTGGAGGTGGTACTTTGATTGGTGTCTTTATTTCTTGGTCGGTTCGTCGTCGCTCGTTTTCTCATAATAAGCATCAAATGGGCTATCATCATCGGAGCTCGAATCTTCGGGCAATCTCTGTAATAAGTTTTTCGTGGTTTGTTTCGAATGTGTTTTGATGCATCAAAAATAGACTCTCTCCAACAGTAAGACTAGGGCATGCCAATGATAGATTCAATATTGGTTCTTGAATTATGACAAATGGTAATCCTCTAGCGCCGAATTCTTAAGTCTATGACTGTATGTGGTGTATGTGTCTTTTTTGTGTCTAGTATGTGAATGGTGAGTCATGCAGCTTCTAAGTAGAGTAGTGTATATTTTTTTTGTTGGTGTGAGACATGCAGACAAGTACGGTACGGCTAGGCCTGTGTTGGTTAATACACACGGCATGCAGGTGCGAACACTTTTCATCTTCTTTAAAATCTCTCATGCAGTTTTCATTGTGGGTTCCTCAATCAATTACACTAGTCAAGGACAAAAAACTCTAAATTCAAAAATAAAGTAGAGGAAGATCCGAGAAAAAGTTGTACCCAAGAAGAGATCGAACAAAACGTGGGGTTAAACCAAAACGAACCGAACAAAAGTGGAGTAAACTAGAGTGGATAGGATTAGGAATAACACACGTTGGGAGGAGATTGAGAGAGAGAGAGAGAGATTGTTGTTCAGTACCTTGTTGAGCTAATGTAGAGTAAATCAAGTGAAAACATTAGAATTGAAAAGGCCAAAAATATAACAGTCTGCGAGTAATTCAATGAATAGATAATTTTTTGTTGTAATAACCATAGCATTAGGATAGATATACTTATAGGATATACAATACGGGTATATGTACAAAATTACAATCGTTCAAAGACTTCAATAATATGAGGCGATAATGCAAATATGTATGTATTTATGTTTATAGATGTGGGAACTTGTTTGGGCCTTGCTACAGAATTTCGGTATATTTTCGTACGTATTATTTATATACAATTACAGACTGAAGACTGAGAGCGAAGAGCGAGCGAGCGACAAAACATAAATCAAAACAGAACAGAATAAACAGAAAAACAAAGAAAGAAAAACGGTTGTACAACACTGGCCGGTTGTCGCAGCGAACTTACCTGCACTGAGCCATGCCGATCGGCCGGCGTTAGATTGCCCAGTGTTGCCCCCGGCTTTGGCACATCAGGCCACGCAGCAACACCTCCTTTGGCATTTGTCTGGTTGTCGATTCAATACCATTCAATTCAATTCGGTATGGTTCGGTTCGATGGTTGATTGTGGAGGATTGGAGGTAAGTTGTGTGGTTTGGTTTTTTGTTTGGGTACAGTTTTCGGATCGGTTTTCGAGCGAGCGAGCGAGCAATTGTTGGAAACGGATTTATGCAAATTTGTCAATAATTAATTTTCGATTTGTATACATTTCATTTTTTTTTACTGTACAACAAAGAGACATCTCTAATTGATATGAAGTATTTTTAAGGGTGTGTATGTTTTGTGTGTGTGAGTCTAAATAAAACTAAAGCAAGTCAAGAGTGTGCTGGTTATCACCGAAACAAAAACCGAAAACATAAACTTATTTCATATGATAGACAAAGCCAACAAAAAATTCAAAGTTCATCAAACAAAGAGAGGCAAAGAGAGCGGAATTAGTTGTGTGAGAGAGCAACGCTACTACAAGACCCGTTCACCGATCAATCGATTCAAGCAGTTCTAGTACACAAAATTAAGGTTAGTTTTACTCTTAGAATTCAAGCTGGCGGTCCCCTGAAAGGTAACAGAGATCTAAGCAATATCCTTGGCAGAAGAAATTAATAACAAAAAAATGCACATAAGACGTTTCTGATCCTAGCATTCATTACTCTCTACAATCGGTTACAGGTATTCTAATATGATTGGTTAGATTCGCATTTCACACTAACCAGTACAGAGATATTTTTCAAGTCTACAACGTCTAACCTGAAGTATGATATATTCTTCATTCTCATTCTCATTATCGTCATCAAAATCAAAATATGAAACATCCTATGGACGGACATAGGCATTTCAATTAAATACATAGATAAAACGGAAATGGCGACATTGTGTGTGGAGAGAAAATAGGATTAGGATCAAAACAAAAGCGTTTGAGAGAGTGGGCGGGAAAAAGAAGAATAGTTAAAGATCAAATGTTAGAATCGAAAAAAAGATAACCAAAGAGAGAAAATGTCAGCTAAAGCTTTTCTTAAACAAATGTAACTGTTGTTTGTCTTATAACCATTATGTAAACAAAATTAAGTTACATTTCCATCAGAGATTTAGATAAATACACATATGTATATTATAGAGTGGTACAAAACTGTTTTATGTTTAGTAATATGGATTATATATGCATATAAATATACTTTACCTTAGCCGTAACATTATGCCGATCTTTATTTGGTGAAATGATGACTTCATGGCCAGTTTGCAGAGATCCGACGGGCGTTGACTGTTTATTATTGATTTTTTGTGTCAATGATTTTTTGGGATGCAGTTGAGTTTTATATTTATATTATATATGTTTATATATATATATATATATATATTTATATATAGGTGATGCAGTTTGGAGTTTTTGGTTTAAACACACACAGAGAGTTACACGCACACGGACATGAAACGGTGTTGACAACCGAAAAAAGAGAGAAAAAGAGTTCAAGAGAGAAGTTAAGTGCTGTTAAATAATGGTATACATTTGTTGCTTAAGTTAGTTTCATCATTAGTTTTCTTTTTTAAGTTCTAACCAAATTCTATAGCAAACATTACAAGCATTTACCAACACTGAGTGAGCGAGCGAGCGGTCGAGCATCATACATGGCTATGTAACACTGATTTTAATATTTCGATAACTCTTTATTTTCTTCTGATACCTTATCTGACTTGTTCTTTGCCAAATGCGACGGTGGCGCATTCTTAATGACCTTCATTTGATCCAGCTGCTCCTTCGTCTTAAAAACAATACAGAAATATCTGAATTTCTATGGCAAACGTAAAATGGTATACAGGTTCAGGGTATATAAGGGTACAAGGACAATTAAAACACATTTTTCTATTAGTTCTTTTTGTTCTGCTCATCTTTACTGTGGAGTTAACTTGGGAGAGAGGGAGGCCTCAAATATTAAATATATGTTTTTTGCTCAAAGGTATAAACACAGGAATCGAACTTTTAAACAAACTGATCATCGGTCCTCTTCTTCTCACTCTGCAGCATCAAAAAGAGAGCTGTGATTGGTTTTTTCTAATGTATTCGTATATATTTATGATCATCCAGCCCTGCAGATTGAGTGGCTTATAGCGTTTCAATAGTAATTAGTTTTTCTGGTGGTGGTTGGTTAGTGACATCGACCCTTCATGCTCGATCTTTCCCATAATTCCAAAAAATAATTTAAGATCTAATTGGGTGAATTTAGATGGTTTTGGTTTTGATATGATCTTGATTTGATCTAAAGGTTTGCATTCTCACTATGTCTCCTATAAATTAAATTATGATTTCGATGCTTTAGAATTCGGCAGAGTTTTCTTCTTGTGAGTGTATGTGTGGTTTCTATTGTGAATGCACTCAATGAAAACGTAATCTTAGTTTTTGATTAGAATGTTGTTTTTGTAATGATTGGGTTGATTGGGGACCACCTACCATTGTCTTCCCTGTCCAATCGAACTCGCCCTCGTCAGTGTAGCCCTTACGTTCGAATAAGTCTTGAAACAGTCTTCGCAGAAAATCATAGTCGGGCGTTTCGAAGAAATCTAACCGCCGTACGTAACGCAAATATGTTGCAAACTCTTCCGGATGTCCGTCGCAGAGCACCTATTAGACAAGACAACAGGCATTAGTATATCATTAACTTGTAGAAAGATATTTAGAGATGAATAGTTAACCTCAATGGGCGTTGCTCGTTTCGTATCACCGATTTTTTGATATCTCTCCTTGAGTGTATCAGCCTTAAGGCCTTGCCACGGCAGTGAACCTCTTAAGAAATACATAAACATATGACCCAATGCTTCCAGATCGTCGCGTCGCGACTGCTCGCGCCCCATATGCGTATTGATTGACATATAGCGTGCGGTGCCGGTTAGGGACTTATGCTCCCGATATGGTATATGCCTATTTGTATCTAAATCAATGTATTCTTTGGCCAAACCGAAATCTAAATGAAATAAAAGGTTCGATTAATATTATAAATTTCAATTAATATGCGATTCGATTAGCGGATACTCACCAATTATGTGTATAATTTTTTCACGTTTTGTTGACGTTCTGCCAATGAGAAAGTTCTCTGGTTTCACATCCCTATATATTAAGTGCCGACTATGAACATATTCGATCCGGTGGAGCTATAGATTTTCGTGGTGGGTGGTCAAAGGTTTCAAAAGAATAGAAAGAAATTCAATTAGTAAAGATAGTATTTGTTGTTGATAATTCTACATAGAGCAATCCAAAAGATATCTTAAAACCATTATGGATTGTCCTTTTATTTTAAACAGAATGAAATTTAATTTTAAATTTTAATTCGATTTTCTTTAGTGTCTCAACTAGCTTTGTTTGTAAATGGTTCTGTTTGTTGTTTGATGGCAACGGTTTTGATTAATTTTTAAATTTAATAACGATTACGTTTGCGCTTCGATTACGAATCGATGAATTGATTTCTCTGATAAATCATAAATTACCAACTTAAGAAGTATATTTTTTAAACTACAAAATCGTATGTACTCATGCAAATTTGATATAGTATTACAATGAACGTTTGCTTTTTTGTTTTTTTGGCTGAGTTTCGTGGTAAATTGTATAAACTATGGTGGCTCTAAAAACAAAAACAAAAAATTTTAAGTGTATGTCAACCTCTAAATAATGTAGGCGAATAATCAACTTAAAAACAAATTATAATTAAAATTAAACCTCAACCAGGCGTCTACCAAAATGAGAGAAAGAGAGTGCGAGTCGCAGAGAGAGAGGGAGAGCGGGCGAGAGCGAAATAGAGGCAACGACCTAATTTGTTAGTGATGTAAAATATCAAATTAAAAACTAAAAAGTGTAAATAATCAAATTTAAAAGAAGTATAGCCCTAATGAAAAATAACACATATGTATTTTTACACTCCCATACCCAGCACACACACGCAAACAAATATAAAATAGTGTTGGTCTTGAGCTTAGCAGTAGTATTGGTTAATTTTTGGCCTGACTACCAGTGTTGTGAATGTGGTTATGTGCTGATTTATGCGCGTGCTTAAAGAAAACTTTGCTGATTGTTGTTGTTTTTTTTTCTGTTGTGATTGTTGGTTTTGTTTGTGGTTGTACTTACTAATTGTATAGCTATCAGTAGTACGCTCTTCAAAGTGAAACGTCTGCCGCAAATATCGAACAAATCTTCGAGTGATGGACCAAGTAATTCCATAACAAGAGCATTATATTTGCCGCATGGGCCGAAGTAATATACTTCTGGTACACCCTCGGCTATTGCCCAACAATCGTTGATTGATTAAATAATTGATTGGTTGGTTGGTTTTTGTTCGAGTGATTTGAGTGTTGGACAGCGCACAAAAGTTTTGGTTGTTCGGTTGTTGTTGTTTTTGTTGTATTTATGCAAAAAATCGTGAGCGAGAGATAAAAAGAGAGAGAGAGATGGGAGAGAGAAGAAAGAAAGATGAGAGATACAAAATTTCACATTTTATTTCTTTTCTTTTTGGTTTGTTTTAATATAATTTTTTTTGTTTTTAAGGGAACTGCACTTCTTTGATTTGGCGGGTGGTCGGACACAACCAGAAGGAGAGAACATGATTGAGAGAGACAGGGAGAGGTGTGTAAAGCGAGAGAATGAGAGATAGAGAGAGAGCGATGGAGATACGGCTCATGGTTTGGAGGTTAGTTAGCGCGTCTTACGATATTACCACCTTTCCTTTGATCGATAGAGAAAGAGAGAGAATAAATATACAATCAAGTAACTGTGCTAAACACAACAAGAACAACAAAAATAGAGATTCTCGAAGCATATACACGAGGAAGCCTTCTGCTGCTCGACGACCCAACTGAAGCACAAGAACTCACCTAACATCTCAATAAACACAACTTCTAACCTTACTAAAATGGAGATTTGATCAACTGTTTCAACAATTGTATTTTAGTGTGCTTAAGGATACACTTAAATATTATGGTAGCTGGCTTTCCTGGGTTGTTGCTGTGGGTTTGTGGTGTGTGTGTGTTTAAAACAGATTTGGTCGTGTTCCGTCTCTCGAATTCGATTATCGATATTCAAATCTACTATTTCGATAGACAATCTTTAGCAACTGTGTTAGTAGTTTTTGGTTAAATTATATACACTGTTGTTTATAGATATAATCAAAGTGAAAGAGAGAGCGGCGCATACAAAAATATGTTTTGGAAAACAAAAACAAAAGTGAAAGAGATAGAGCGAACGTTAACTAAAAAGTTTTGGGTAGAATAACAACCAAAAATTTTTGTTAAATATGCTTTGGGCACAGTGTAATAGTTTAATTTTGGAATATACAATAGAAGGAAAGGTTTGCTGTTGTTTTCTTTTATTAACAAGGAAATATTTCGGTTGCTGGTATGCCTTAAATATTTACTTTTTTTATATACGACGCTTAATTTACATGCTTTTTGTTGTTGAGGTTAGAATAAGTTTCTTTGTAGATCGTTACAACTGGTAGCTACAACCAAAAGTAAAAAAATAGGGTGGAGTTCTATGCAATTTTTAAATTCAATTACTTCTACGGTACACTTCTCATTCTATGTATCTACAATAAACTAAAAACTCGACTAACGTTCATTGCGTGTGTTCTAGGGGGGTTTTACCCGATTTTGTAAATCATAAAAATAATACAAAAAGAATTGAGAAAGCTTGCTTTAGCTGTTGAGACACTTTTGGTTTAAAATTTTATTTACAATTACAAACAAAATATTTATAATAGTTTTTTCTATGAGTTTTGAACGGATTTCACCACAGGATACTACACTGTCGAACATTTCGTATATTTTCCAAATGTTCTACCCAGTTCCTTAGATATATTACTTGTCAAGCTTACAAAGTTATTCGTAAATATTTACTCTTATACGAATAAAATCCGTCCAATTTCTCATCAACAAATATTAAACAAAAAAGTTAATTAACTTTTGTTGTGTTGATGGTTTTTCATTGGTTTGAAAAATGCCACACTTACAAGTTGTTTTGCTATCATCAATACAGTCTTAAGTGAAAATTTACGGGCGCAAATATTGAAGAGATCTTCTAATGACAATCCCAATAACTCTAAAACCATGGCATTGTAACGGCCACCGCAAGTGCCCAAGTGATAAATGCGTGGTATGCCATCTGGGGCGGTTTCGGCTGGACATTCGTTTTGTTTAATTTCATTTCGTTTCGATATATATATAGTATTCGAATCCATTTCCAAATTACGATCCAATCCGATTTCAGTTCCGATTACCATTCCGATAATGGGTTGATGTGTGAGGGGGTTTTGTATATAACATGCCATCACAATGTATTATGCAACAGTTGTTGGTTGGATTCAGATCAGTTCGGTTTCGGTTTTGGGTTGTGGTTGAGGTTGATTGCAGCAGACACAGGGAGATCGATATTTATGTATATATATAGAGAGAGAGATAGAGACAGAGAGCAGCGCATGATGATCAATTTCGGTTTTGAATTTCAATTTTATTAACGGTTTTTGTTCAATTATTCATTGTGAATGAATATATATTTTCGTTTTTTTTGGAGTAGGGTGGTTTTTGCAGAGTATAGTTGATTGTTGATGGTTTTAAGAGGAACAGAGAGCAATATATGGGTAAATAGAAACAACAAACAAATACGGAATGTAAGAAAAAGAAAAAAAATTAACCAAAAGTAGAAGGGCAAAAAAAGTATTATTCAAAAGTAGAAGGCCAAAAAACAAGAGTTTATAATTCGGTTTATATAGCATAGAGTTATATATGTATATAGACAGAGAGAGATTTAGCGGTAAAGTAATTTCGAGCTATTTTTACATTTGAGGGTATAACAGTATAAATGTAGCTACAGCTACAATATTTAAAAAATATATTGGTATAAGTTGTTTTGTCAAATGTCACTTCACGCACCGCGACCGACCTCCGAAAATATGCTTGAGAAAATCTATTCATGTTTTTTTCTGTTCGTCGTAATTTTCTTTCTTCTCAACGGTATAACACTTGCTGGATACTACCAAAGAGTGTTACACAGAAAATGATAAGTACGTTGTTATACAAGTATATATGTAACTAATCAAATAGTGGTGGTAACGGTGCAAAACTTTGTTTTATTTTGGAGTTTAAGGTTAGTAAGAGGTAGACAGGGAGACATAGAAGGAGAGATAAGTAATAGAGCGGGCGAACTTGAAGTTATCTTGCATATTCATTTTGGCAAAACCTGTACCACTTTTAGCTTTGCTCTTTCTAGGGAAAGGGGGATTTCTCCTGGGGGGTTAGTAATTGTTAATTGTTGTTTAATTAGTATTACGAAAGAAGACGACAGCATTTGGGACGGGGTTTGGGGTACTTCTTGTTTTTTTAGGTCGTTAAAGTTAAGGTAATAAATAGTTTACATACCATGTGATCCTAATAGTTTATAAAACCTATACTCTAAGTGTAGTTGCGGAGCCTTTGACTTCATAGGCTCCATTTTTATTGCTACATGTTCATTGTTGTAAAGATTTTTTCCTGAAAATAAAAAGAGAATGAAATGTTAGTTCAAATTTGAGATGGAATTGTAAAATATCAATTGAAAAACCCTAAAGAATTCAAGCAAAAGCCAAGAGAAGGAATAAGATACCCTCTCCCACGCACAAGATTATCATGCTAAAGACAGGAGTCACATCATTTTTCTTCATGCATTCTTCGCACAAACTTTCTTTACCTGCCCCACTGTTCTCGGAAGTGCCACGCCCACCAAAGCAACACATTCGACGACCTATGTTGGGCGAAGGAAGGGGGAGAAATACGAAAAGAAATATATACAATATGAGAATTGCATTTTTGTTTTTGTTTTCGTTGATGTGACGAAACACACTCAACACAAGCAACGGTAAACGATGAAGACACACTGACAGAGACAGACGATGTCAATGATGAACAGTAGGAAAACGGCTGCCGAAGCTTTTGATACCCTTGCGGCTTTAAGGTTCCTATGGTATCTAGCTATCACATGTTTGAGTTTGATAAAAGAGGCAATTTTATAAATTTGTATGAAAACAATAACATTTCGATGGACCTCAGTTTTAGCTTTGCAAACATCTGTCAATAATCATCATACTCCCTGCAAGGGTATCACATGTTCGCTCATGTGCGAAATTATGTCATAAGAGAGTGGGTGAGAGGGGGCGAGACCAGAGAGGTAATGGAAGTGAGAGACTCTGAATGAGTCTGAGCGTAAAGTAGAAGAGTGTGGGGAGAGCGACTGAAATGTGTGCCTGAGTGTGTGCGTCTGTGTAGGTGTTCATAGGTGTGGGTGTGGCAGTGGGTGGGCGTTTGACAGAGGCACTGTGCTTATCAACAGACAGAACATTATAACCGTTGATAGAGTCATCACACACATACACTACATGCTCAGCACACACACAATTTTACAGAAGGCCGCATGACTTTGATTACATTCATAAATACATACATATAGACGACGACGAAGACAGCACAGCCCCGCAACGTCCTCTGGCACACCCTCCTATTCAGTCCACCCACCAAGCCACACGCATTTAAAAACAAAGAATTTCATTCGATAATTTCTTAAACGGAACAAAAAAACGCATTTAAAATATTATAAAGAGTAAGTGGAAGACAAAGCGGGGTTGATCCAAGACGTTGCGCTAGGTGACTGTCATTTAAAAAGATTTTATGTATTTAATTTATGTTCCGCGGAAACTAACAAGTTTTATTTATAATAAGATGAAAAACATCCAAGCCAGGGGTGCACAGCTGGTATAAAACCGTAGAAAGCCGTTCATACGAGTAACTATAAAAGCATTGCAATGCCCCATTTATTTCAATGAAGTTTCTCTAAACCTTTCGAGAAAAGGAAATATTTCTCCCTAAATCCACATTTCGTACACAACTGACTCTTAAATGTCATAACCTGACTCAATATTTAACATTAGTCATTATTAATGAACCTGAGGAACAGCGGACCTCAATAGTAAGTAGATGCCTAACAAGAACAAAAGTTTTCCATAAATAGTCCACACTAATACCCGGCCCTAAACAACAACAGCCAAAACAACAATTTTCTTTTTAAGGGCGTGCTAAAGAACAGAAATAAACCGAGGAATTTTCCCAAATTAAACGAGAAACGCCCACGCAAAGCGCCCATAAAAATGACCCACAAAAAAAGAGAGGCAAAAACCAAACGTTTTTACCTTTTATTATTTCTTTTATTCAAAATTGGGAAATCCAAAGAGAAATGACTAAATGGGCGTGTGGAGGAATGAACAAAATTGTCACTTTTAATAAAAAACCCACCAAAAATTATAGCTAATTGTATCTTCATTTTTTACGGAAAAAATTAAACAAACAAAGAAACCTAAAGAAGGAAGTATTTATAGAGCACAATTCATAAAAAAGATATCAAAAGCAATAAAAATGAAATGAAAAATCACAAGCTCTCTGTGACGTCACAGAAAACGTCTATAATTTAATCGGACGTTGAATAACGTCACAACGTAAGGTGCGATTACAGTTGGCATAGTATGCGATGAAATTTGTTGGTTAATGCGACACCAAGTTCGTCTTTAGGATAGTCTCTATTTGGCCTATATATAAAAAATTTAGTAGAATAAAATTCTTATTAGCTAAAACAAGCTGTCTAAAGGTTCTGGGTCTAGCACCAACTACATAAAGCAGTTGAAAGCAATCAAAAAGCGGCGAACGTTCATTCAACGGTTCAGTGACATTTAAACTGTGTGGGATTTTCCTAGTTGCGAAATTGCGAAATAAAGCCCTATCGTTTAGCAACACTATAAATGTATCCAATTAAAAACAGCTTTTTTATTCTGTGTATCTTTCATGCTATCTTCATTCTCCAATCTCTTTCATTCTTTATTGTCTACTCTTCTCCAGCGCAATGATTCATCCAAAAACGACACATTTGTAAGAGCATGTGTGTGTGTGTGTGATGCCCGCGCAAAATGCAAATAAGAGAAAAATATGAAGAGAGAAAGAGGCCAAACAAAACAAATAATAAAATGTGAGGCTGAGAGGTAGAACAAAGAAAAAGCCCGGCTTAAGCTTTAAAGGGGGGGGGGGGGGGGGGTGTTTCACAATTCAAAAAGGGAATGAGTGAAAGAGAGAGAGCATTTATGGGGTGAGGCATCACTGATGGAATAAATGGGTCTACCTCAAAGCGTGTTTCTACTGCTTTATGGTAAGGTGGAATCAAGGTATATTTGTAGAGGGTAGAGCTGGCTTAAAGCTTTCGCTCTCTTTTCTCTACAAAATACACGAATCTCGAAGAATTCGTTACCCTTTTTTTTATGAACTTTGAGGGCGGGAATGCTCACAGTTTTTTCAGAACTGCTTTGCTGGTCGGGGTGGGCGGGCGCTACCTGTTGGCATTGTGACAACAAATGCACAAAAGGAAGTGGCAGGCCCCAAAAAATAAAAGAGGGGCACAACAGATGAGGACTGAGGGGTAAGGCAACAACTTTATAAAAGCGCATTTAGCAAACAAAGCAAAAGTGACGACAACGACGACGACGCCAAGAAAACAGATGGCGGAATGGAATGACAGTTTTTACTTGTTTGTTTGCTGCTTGTGTTGTGGGCACTCTCGTACGTAAAAAACGGGAAAGGGAACAACAGAAAAGTGGCGAGAAAAAAGTACTGTTCTCATTGTGGTTAATACTGTTTGGCAGCAACAGCCGCAGACTGAGGAAAGGAATGCCGGCAGGGCTGGGTACTGCCTGAAAGGAAGTAGCCAACAAGAATGGCTGCCTAAAAATAAAGAGAAGCAACAAGAAGGGAAAGCTGAAGCTTTTGATACCCTTGAAGATCATTCTTGTTAATACATATGTATGTAAACGTTTCTCTCTTTTACATTAGCTCCTAAGAATTATACCCTCTGTTAGGGTATCAAAAACGTCACGGTGACATTACTTGCATTCCAAAAAGGTAAATAGGAAAGCAGGAGGGGAGTGGCGGACAGCAGGATGAGGAAAGGAAAAGACAGCAGAATGTGAAGAACGGACAGCAGGAAGACGGCAGCAAATTAAGAGAGAGTGAGTGTTGGTGTGTGCGTGGGTGACAGGTAGACAGAAGCTTGATTTTGAGTCATCATAAACTTAATTTGCAATTTATTTACAGCTATTGTTGCCGGTACGGCACACCAACATAACAGAAGGACAGGGAGAGATAGAGAGAATGAGGGAGAGAATGTGCGAATGGATGCTTTCAAAGGGAGCATTAGATTGATTGCTTTTGAAAGCTTTAAACTCAATCTTTGGGAAATTATGATCGATACTACTAAACCCAATCGATACTCAGACGATAAACGAATATTATGGCTCAAACATATCTACTCTTTTACTTATAGAGAATGATGTAAAGATTTCACTGGTTGGATGTTGAACACATTATGACACAACATTTGGAATTTTAAGTGTTTTTAGCTTTAATAGTTAATTGTCTATGGGTACTTACCTAAACGCAATTCGCCAAAATTACCACAGCCAATTTTTTTACCGACACGAAAATTTGGTCCGACCATAAGTACACCGGTTGTGGTGCTTACAGATTGGCGGGTGGAATACATATTATTGCTTGAGCTCTTACCACCGGCTAAAGCTGTCGTGGCATTGGCCACATTACCAGCAGATGGGCCGGCAGTTGTCGTCTGTGGGACGCCGCCACTGCAAAAAAAAGAAGATAAATCGATTAGTATTTGATGGAAACTTGGTATTTACTATTAATCTTCATAGATTAACTATATCCCATCCTTCTCATACGTACTCCTCCTCTTTTGCTTTGTGGATCGACAAATATTTACGCAACATTTAATTTTGAATTCTGCGGACTGGATCGACACAATTTAAAACAAAAAATGCAAATAAAATAATACAAATGTTATAAATTCTGTGTCGATATTACCGACCATAAAATCTATTGCTACTCGAACTATTTTTATATTTTTGCTTTTGTATCGTGTAGAAAATAGCAGCCACAAACACACAGCGCACTTTAACAATTGAAAATTAATGAAAGGAAAAAAGGTTTGATTTGTGATTAATGAAAACATGGGAACTTCTATGCTTTTCGGTTGTAGTGATTTTTTTTCGATCTATTGAAATTAGCTTCATAAAAACAAATGTAGAAAACAAACGTATCGAAAGATAAATTAGTTATCTGCCTTGTAACTTTACACATCAAGCTGAAATGCATTGATTTTCAAGATCTTAACCATCGAGATCCGAGAGCCTTTATTTTATAGTCTGAAGAGCTGCCTTCTTTCACTCCCAGCTTCATGAGTACAATACCCAAATGTGTGTCCTTTGTTCTTCACTACTTTTTTATACAAATAAAAAAGTCACCTAGAAACCTGTTCGCTTAAGTCGCTTAGTCTTAACCCTTCTAAAATAAAATTGTCATGCCGCAAGTGGGCGTTAGCCCCGTGCAGCTTATAAGAAACGACAGGACAATGACACAGAAACTTTTTGCATTATAAAGTACCAAGCACAAAGAATCGATTCAAGTCGAGTGTGGAATGGTATGGAATGGTGTGGAGTGAGTGAAGTGCAGAGGAGTGGAGAGGGAGAGTCGACTCTCGAGTGAAGTTAAGTGAAGTTGTGTCTAGGCCAGGTAGGTTCTCTGTTTGCCTATAGCATGGACTAGGGGGTCTGGGGCCCCAGAGAGCGGACCACATGTCGAGGCGACAGAGTTCGCCCAGGCATAACCATTCGGATCGGAGTGCGACGGAGTGAGTCATGACTCAGGGCCAGACAAGGGAAATACTCGATACGTTTGATTAAGACAAAAGGTTTTACTTTATTGCATTTCGTGCTGGCTTGTGGCTGTTGGCTGTTAGGGTGTGGCCCAATGCAAGATCTTTTTCATAGTGCCAGAATTGAGTTCAATGTCAGGTGGCGGATGACCTAAATCAGTCTTCAGGCTTTAGTTTATCTTTTCTGATCGTCAGAGCATGAGTCATATAATCAAAGTTAAATTAAATTTAAGATGAATTTAATCTCGATGGTAAAAAAAAACCCCCCAATGTAAAGACAAACATTAACAACAGATTAGTGTATCAAAATCTAAATGCTGTTATTTGTCCATCCTTTCTAAGAAATGCTCACACCCTTCATCTGTGTGTCTTTATCTTCTGCATCTATCTTCACCTTTATAAAGAAAACTATTTCGGTTTTAAGAAGGTTTTTTTGATCATAGATCCAAACCAAATATCCCCATTATTACATACAAGATAGATCGATCTTAATGGACATTATGTGTATGGCAATTTGTATTTGGTAGAGAATATGGCCAATCTCTTCTCTGAATCTCTGTAAGAAAAGACTCCGCCCAAACTATTAACAGGAAATTATTAGTTAGTCGTTATACTCCACAACCTCCTCACTTTTCGTTGTCTCTATCTCTTACTCTCTCCCTCGGTCTCTCTCTCTCACTATTTCCACTTTTCATCTAATATCAGTATTTGTTGCTTGTCAATTACTATTTTGCCAGCTCCAAGCGGTAGTCCGGATAGAAAATCTTATCTGCCCACACACACACCACCACTCACAAGCACTCAATCACAGAAGGAGTGAACGAGATCGTGAGAGGGCGAAATAGAGATATAAATACACACACATACACACACACAACCGATAATTGTACCGTTAAGCACTGTTGTAAAAAATAAAACAGAGTAAGACCCGCCGATAACAATTAAAAGCTAAATTGCTCTGAGAAGAGTTTAACAGCGACAGAGAGAAAAAATTATACAGAAGAGTGTGACAGAGCGAGAAGGAGTGATCACAGAGAGCAGGCGACGAATGAGGCAGAAACAAGTTCGAGTTCGACTTCGATTACAAGTTCTCCTTCTCCGTTTTCTGCTTTACAGAAGCAAGACAATTTCAATTGGAATACCCTACACCACAAATCTAAAGGACATATGAGTCCATTAGGAAACCTACAAATAAACCTCGAAGAATTTGCAAAGCGCTTTGGGTAAGTAATTAAAAACTCAAATCACACCCCGTGACAATTAAGCCCGCATTTTCCTCTCATTTATTTTACCTTCTGCAGGGTATTGCCTTCATATTTATGTCTACATTTTCTTGTTTTTGCTATGACTGTTTTAATGGCTTAATATCCTGCAGGTAAAACTGGTTCAAAAGTACTGTACGAGTATTTGTCGATGGATGGTTGTGTATATGTGCCTACAGATGCATATGGGTGTATGTATGTGTACACCACAAATGGATACACAGTTGGGATGTGTATGTATGTATGTATGTGTATCCATTTGTGGTGTATCGATCGCCGGCTCGATTGGCTCTACTTCTTGTGTATATCTTATGGCTCCCCACTTTTAACAGTTTTTTATTGAGTTTGTCTGTCTCTTTATATTTTGGGGTCGTTCGCTTTGCTTTTGCTTCTTCTTCTGGCTAAACGGGTTCCCACTTCTTAAATTGCAAAAATACAGTGTATTTTTTTTGCCTTATATCTGTATGAATCAACATGTGAGAAAAGGCTATCGACTGGGGAATTGAGCACAGCTGGGGTCCTGTTGTAAAACGATCAGCATTGACCGGTTTCCTGGCAAAGAAACAGACAGCACCACTCTCTGAACACAACACTGAACACCATAAAATTTAGTTACTCGATTGGACTGGACACTAAACTTAAGGAAAGTGAATTTCCTTTGTTTTGAAAAATATACATACAATAAATCATACATTCTCTGAAGACTCATGCATAGTCCAACCTTATAAAGTTTTGGATTGGAGGAGTACATGTATGTTTCATAGAAAACCGCCGAATACCCTTCTCTGGCATACAGGATACTTATTTTTTATATTCTAACTTGTTTCCATAATATTTCATTGCATAACATTTAGGAATTTCTATATTAACACTTGTTTTCGGAGGTAAACAAAATTAAGTTTCGGACCCCAGGGCAGCAATGTCGATGCAAATCACACAAAGAAACCCGTTTCAAAGAAAGTGAAAAGAAAGAAAAAAACAACATTTTGTTTTTAAGGTATTTTGTTAGCCACAAAGATAGAGATATGGAGAGAGGAAGAGAGAAAATCAATAATTAAAAATAAGCCAGGATCTAAAAATAAAATTATGCACAAGGTGGGTTCCACAAACACACACACACACACACACTCCGCTCTCATATAGGAACTCTCATGTGGTTCATGAATAAATCAACTGTAAATCAAAGAAGGTAAGGCCAAAGCCTGAGAGAGAGAGAGAGCGAGAGAAGAGAAGAGAGGAAACCGCAACCGCAAAACAGCGGAAAACCCCAATTAGAATTTCTTCCCTCTGTAGGTGAGGGACCGCCTAGAGAATGGAACCATAATTTGACAAATTATTGATTTGCCAGTGCTTTTAAAACTCTTAGTCATTCGAAAATTAAATTAGAAACACACAGCAAATAAACTTGGCTCGTGGGAGAAGCCCTAGAAAATAGCCTAAAACTTTGGTAATGCTGGTATTTTTAGGGAAATTACATAAGCATTAAAGAACATGGCGCTTGAAAATAAACAACAAAAACAGAAAATAACAGCAAACTTTTGATAAAGTAAATTAATGTGTGATAAGTACGAGCATTAGTATTGGTTAATGTGTGTGCTTCAGAGGGTATTTCTTATCAGGCAGAGATTTGTGTTTGCTTGTGGTTTCCCTCTCGATTTACACCCTCTTTTGTTCACTGTTTCTCTTTGGGGATTACACAATTGATTTGTTGTTGTAATCGACACTATTTATAGAAACAAACAATTTCAATATAATTGCCAGCGCACAGGCAATTGAATTTCAATTATGCAAATCAATTGGAAAAATTATATGGGGAAAGTAAACTTAACTGAATCGAATCTTGAATACGCTCTCTGCCTAGTTTATGGTTTACTAGTCCCTTGTTTTGTTGAATGTTTTTAAATTTGGTCTTACTTAAAATAGTTTTTAGCTTTATATCCAATCGAAAACTACTGTTACAAATGAAAACTGCTATTATTCGGAATGTTAAATTTTTCGGCCAGTTAGACAACATTATTTTGTGTTAATTTCTAATCAGAAAGGGTATTGAATTGGTTTTATAATCAAATTCAATTGACAATGCGCTTGGGCTATTACATATTAATAATTTTGTTATTGCGGTTCGCAGCGACGATTTCACTACTTCTGTAATCGAATTGTTGCCACAGGGACTGCTAAATAAAACATAACGTGCCAATATCCAATATCCAATTTCAATGGCATTTTGACGTTTTAAAAGGAACTGCCGACAACAAAAACAATACTACAATCATTTTGATTCGCATAGCACATAAATAGGCATCACACACACACACACTGCGCTTCAACGGCCGCACTCCTCCACGCTACCACGCCACCACCCTCTTGTCACTCCAAATGACCTATCAACCAGCGCATTGATAAGCAAAAGAGAACATCACACATGCAAAAAGCACTTGAGAGCGCACACTATCGCATATACTCGCTCTCGCTCTCCCTCTCTCGTAGGCCAAGGCGCAAGCAGTGTGAACAAGTTGGCTAGATAAGCGCGCGTTGATTAGCTGCGACGTCAGACAATAGAGAGGCGAAATGAACGAGTGAGTGAGTGTGATGAGTGGGCATGGAGAAGAGAGCAACAGCAGCAGCAACTTGTAGTAGAAGCAGCAGATAGAAGAGAGAGATAGCACAAAGGTCTGGCATGGCAGTGAAAGCAGGATAGAGTGAGGTGCAAGCGCCAGTGCAACCAGAGTACAGTGGGCTGCACACCATGCACAAGTGGTCCTTTGAAAGAGAATAATTGAATTGAAAGAATAACATTGAATGCAAATCCTGCTTCCAATATTCGTGTTTTTTTTTTTGCGGTAATACCCCTGCCTATTACCATTGTACCAGACTGATTGATGCTGCTTTTGGGGGTTGGGTTTGGTTTGCACGTCACAGTAACAGCACCAGCACCAGCACCAGCACCAAAAAGAACAACAATTCCATTGACGATGTAGTCTATCAACACCACAGCCTCAAACTGGCGAACTGTATGTGTGCGTTGTCTGTATGGGTATATGTGTGTGTATGCCGGGGCGCCTCAATGGCCGATTGACCTTTGCATGTTAGATTAACATTGAATATGCAGCACCCCCACACCAAACCCCCCTTGTGTGTATTTGTGGTTAGAGATTTAATTAGTTTAGCCTCAGCTGGGAGACCACCACGTGCAAAAGCTAAAAGCTATGTAAATGAGTATGATAGAGGTCAAATGCTATCATTTATCTATGCAGCATAAAACCCCACCCATACATGTGCACATACATACATACATAAATAATTATGCATGCATGTGTGTTGAAATATTGCCTGTAATTTGCTTTCTAGTGTTTTCTTCCTGCCTGCCACTGGGCTCATTTAGTACCAGACGACCCCGAAAATCACCACACAAAACCCAATCGAAAATCTCCTCAAACCGTGTCTGGGGTCCCAACCCTGTTTTTACGATAATTTACGTTCGTTTCCTTCCTTCCTTCCGACTTCTGTACCGTGTAGGCGTGTAAATGAGTAGAGGTATGTGCATATGCAGCGTAGGGGCGGGCGGCATGTGCTGTTGGCATTGAAAAACCTCACGTGCGTTTCGCGTTGCCAACTGAAAAATATCGTACTTTTTTTTTGCATTCTGTTAAGCTTGATGCTCTGTGGAGGTCAAAGTCGCGAATGCAATGTAATGTGAGCATTTTTTACCGTTCTTTATTTATCTCAAATCAGCATTTGCCAAATTGAAGGCTACACACACACTAATTGATCTGGTCATACTTTAGTTCGTTCCCACACTATTATACATCCCTTCATTCCCCTCTCTGCCATCAGCCTTCAACCGACAACATGTGTTAAGCATAAGAGAACGGAATGGATGGTGTACAAGAACAACAAAACACTAACCCGGCAAAACTCCGTCAAACGACGGAGTTAGTCAGACCACTGCGAGAGTTTCAAAGAGAGCACTGCTGCTTGGCCTCATGCATGGATTTCTGTATGCGATGCGGGGGGGATCAGCAGCCAACAGCAGCGCACTGCTTGATCCAACTGTAAGCAGCTGTTGTTGGATTGACGTCTGCTGCGGCGGCCGTTACACTCTCTGCTGTTGTTTCTGCTTCTTTCGTTGTTGTTTTTGATACTGATTTGTGTTGTACTTGAGAACTTGTTTTGTTCTCCTTTTTTTTTTATAATTGTTTAATTGATTTTTATGGCCTGCACTTTATTCCGGTTTTTTTTTTAAATTTTGTTTGCACACTTTTGAGTACATTTGTTGCAATTTAGAGTGGGGAAAACTGCTAGAAGTGATATAAAACATTTATTTATTTTGACACTATTTTACACAATTTTTATAATCTTCTTCGATTTCATGGAAACAATCTTTTAAAACTTTCTAGGTTATATATATTTTGTTTGAAATGGAACTGGAGATCTGTATTAATAATGGACTTCCGACAATCGGTTGAATTTCTCAAGGGAAACTTTCAAGAAAACCTCTGCACAATCTCAAGTATTCACGACGTTCGCATACGATTATACAGGGTGTTGCTTAGTATCACTTGGTTTTTCGTCCCTCTAAAATATATTTATTTTTGGGGGTTTGAACACTTTTCACAGCACTTTTATTTATTTTGTGGAACAACACAATTAAACCATTTTTTTTAGTATTTATGTATTATTACAATTTTCTTTTCTTTTTGTGTTTGCTACAGTTTTTTCTGCTTTTTATTGAAGGTAAAATATTTTAATTTGTCATATCCGCTACGCTTTGTCTCTGTAAGTGCGTTCGTGTGTTGGTTTTTGCGTGAGTAAGACATGGAGTTGCATACATACATACATGCATGCATTTTTATGTACATGAGAAGGGGTTTCAGCGAGGGTTAAGGTTCTGCGCCCCTGGGCATGATGTTGCAATTCGAGGCTCTCTTTCTCTCACTGCTCGAAACTTTCGCCACATTACGAAAGCCTTCGCTCACATCCCCCTTTTCATGCTTCTTTTAATTTTGTTTAACAGTTTCTTGTCTTTACAGGTCAAAAGTCTGCAAGACAAAGCACTGGAAGTGGCTTTGGAAGTAGGAGAAAGAGAGCTCGAAAGAGAAAGAGAACGAGGAGAGTCTCGCACAGCAGCATACAGATACCGAAAAGGTAGGCAGGCAGCAAGCAAAATATATTGTAGAAAAAACCTCATAAATAACTCGAAAAACCAGTTTATGTTGCCGGTGTACAAACAGAAAACAACAATAACACTAAGAATGTGCAAGCCGAGGAAGTGCGAGCGAGCCAAGAATAGAACTTAACGCGAAGAAACAACAGAAACTCGTTAAAGCTCTACAGAAGATGTTGGAAAAATAAAGCACAGAAGACAGCTGACTCGAAAAAACCAAAAGATACATACACACAGCTGAGTGTTCGAGACGGAGCAAAAGAGATAAAAAGATACAGTTCCAAGAGAGATAATGGAACTGTTCAAAAACTTCTATGCAGGAAGAATTGGCGTTTCCAACTCTATTATTACACACATGCAAACAAAACTCAAGAAGAGCTCAGATACACACAGGCTGACGAATAAACCGAATGCTGGCTGCTGCATTCACAAAAAAAAAAAGAACTGGAGCAAACACAAATTTAACAAAACGTCATAGCGATATAATGATTAACACGTACAACAACAAGAATTTTCCACTTATATATGGGTATATTTTGTGTAACTATATGTGTATGTTTAGTGCACACCCGCAGCGCACCGCGCGACCTCTGAGTGATTGCAAAAAAAACTCAAAAGGAGGAGGAATGACAACTGCTACGGAAAGCGATCGAAAATAAACTGTGAAGGAGAGAGAGAGAGCACTTGGCCAAGTCGCATCGTGTTCAGTCGCGTCTGATGCGGCCACAACAAAGAGAGAGAGACAGAGAAGGAGAGAGCGAATGCGAGAGAGCGGAGCGAAGCAAACACACTTGTGAGCGTGTGAAAATAAAAATGCGGCAAACGAGCATTTTGTATTAGTATGTAATTATTGTTCATGCCGCTGTTCTGCTGTTGCCGCTACATAAGGGAGAGAGAGAGAGATTCTAAAACAGCAAATATAGAAGAGAGATACTGCAAATGTTGGGGAGAGAGATACTACAACAGAGAATGTGGTGGGAGAGGGAGATACTTCAAAAGGAATAGTGTGTGAGAGCGAGCGACAAATTGATAATGATGTACATATAAGTAACCGAGAGTGTGTGTACATGCGTGTGAGTACATGCGTCAGACTTATAGAAAACTCGCTTCACAAACAAAACGCACCTGTCAAACACACACATGCATGAGACTCTGCACTGAGCCAGCAAGAAGATCTTCACCATTCGTTTGCAGCGCAGTCGCAGCTTCTGTTGGACGGAGTAACGGGGTGGATGACTCATGCATGCTGTAAATAAGCAGTGCAAGACAGCTGGATGTTGGGGCTCGTTATGCTTTAACAACGGCACTGCTTTAACAGTGTCATTTGAATGAATGAGGGTGCAGTCCAGTTCTGTTTGTTTTTGTGGGAGGATTATCTCTTGGGGCATTGGGGAAAGTGAAACTGTTAAACCAATTCGAAAACATTTTAGGAGAAAAAATGACCTATGTATGTTCATATTTTTTTTACCGCACTGGACATTGTTTTAACAGTTAATCCACAGAATAGAATTTTTAGCGAAATTAAATTGCAGGAAAGCCATAGCTGTAACTGTAAGGTTGATTGCATTTTCTCCTGCACATGTTTATACAACAAAAACGAAGGAAAACAATGATGTTGAAAATAATTTTTTTACACGCCACTTGCGCTACATAATAAAAGAAAACAAAACCAAAACTAAACCAACGTAACTTTGTTGCCAACCAACCAACGCACACACACACACACACACACACACACACACACACACACATATGGAGGGGAAAGAGACAGCCACATGTAACGTAAAACAAACTTTTTGTATTACTTTTTATTATTTAATAGAAGAAGCAGCTCCATGGGGCAGCTCTTGTTGCGGGGTTGTAGGGTGTTTCTCCGGTTGAAATAACCTAAATTTTGAGTTGAGTTGGCAACGAGAACAACCAGAAACATATGTACATATTTATGTATGTACGTATGCATGTATAACTGTAACGTGGGCCGGGCTGTGACGGGCCAGGGTTGCCACCTGCCCCCAATCGAGAAGGAATTGAAAAAGAGAGGAGAATGGTGGAGCATAACCAGAAGAACCGCAAAAAGCAAAGCCAAAGTTGCGTGTGGCGAAAAGTGGCTTCAATAATAATAATAAAAGAAAATACTGATGAAAAGTGAACGAAAGCGAGAGGAGGGATAACGTGAAGAGCAAGGTGGGTGGCGGGGGGAGAGGGGTAACAGGGGCAAGCAGCTGTGGCACAAGAAAAAAAACAAGGACAAATTGCGGATTAAGCAAAAAGAATGTGAATGTAAAAGCGTACACACAAAGGAAATAAAAAGCAAAGCACATGACTTCCAGACCGACTAACGGGACCATCAGACTAACCGACCGACCGTCAGACCCCAACGACCCAAACATCCACAAACACCACTGGCACACCACTCACTGCCAGACTGCTGATGACGTCATTAGGCTGTTGTCGACTGTCAATCGGTCGGTGGTTCTGTTGCTTGCTTCTCCACGGCTTCTTTCTCTATTCAGAGAAACAGAGAAGAGAGAGTGTTTTCCTTCGTTGTATTTGTGTGGGTGCACGCAGAAACAATATAGAAAAGGCCAAGTTTTCTGACGACTAGCAGCATAAGTGCTGGAGCAGCCATGCAAAGGCATGTTTCGCAGCATGGGAATAAATAAAATATAGATAATTGAATACATCTGCATCCGTTTTTGAACAAGTCACCTTGCTGAAGACACATTAAATCGAACCTCACCTGCAGGTGGGGCAGGCATTACCAAACAAATTAAATATACTTTGAACAAAAACGAGAGTTAATCGCTGATAAGTGGGCTACATTAAGAAATGTGGATGGGGGGTGGAATTGGGCTTCATGACAATAGTAGGTTTGTCTGAAAAATGCTTTTCGTGCACTTTTCAATGAACCTCTATCACTATTGGTTGGTACGGGGGGGCACGGAGGCCTGGCAGCTCTTCAAACAAAAGTGCAAAATGAAATGCACATTGTCGTGTGTGCATTGGTACAGCGAACGTAGGCAGAAAACAGGAATACCACAAGTGTGAAATTTTCATCTAATTAAATTAGATGCCAGTCATGCTTGAACAGGCGAAAAGGAACACGGTGGTAAATGAGAGGGATGGAGAGGGAGCGTGCGTGTTCAAGTAAAAAGCCTGTCAAACAAATCGATGGGGATTTAGTTATCAAACAGCTGACACAAAGCTTGGACACCATCTAGCTCCTCCCGCTCACCATCACAGCAGCTACCTTTAAAACCCATCCACAGTGACTCATCACGTATTATTCAATATGTACGTTTGACAGAAAACGGAAAAGGAATTCGCACAGAAAATCCTTTTTGCACTTTAGTTTGAATGATGGACCAAGCGAAGAGGAAGAGCTAATGGTGACAGCCTCCGCCTCAGCCTCAGGCAGTGTCGACTTCCAGTGGACTTTGGATTAATGAATAATGCAGTCTGTAGTCTGTTCTGTATTACATTACAACATGATTATGTCTTTTTGGGGGAGGGATTACACAACTTTTATGTATCATTACAATGTGCATTACTCATCAACAACAAAAGAAATATCATTAAATTAATAAACACATATAATACACATACACAGGCCAGGCACTGATATCTGCTCAAATTTCCTACAATAATCTTTATAATTTATTTCTTGGCAAGTCCATTTTGACAATTTAGACAACTTTTGTGGGAGATCTTGATTAATAAAAATAATAACTTTGTTTGGGACGCTATCAGAATTTCAAAATCAGACACCTACCGGGTTAAAACTTAAACTGTGCGTTTACGCAGGACTCGACACACACAGACGTTTTACCGATTTTCTCACATTTCCACACTGGAAAATTTCAAGTGCAACGAGCCAAAGAGCAGCAAAATGAAAAGGGACAAGTGCTCATTCAAACTATTTTCAACCAGCTCGAGTTTCTTTCTTTCCTTTCACCCCACAACACACTTCACTCCTCAATCTCCTCCACTCTCTCCGCCAGCATCTGCTCTTGTTCTACGGCTCTCCAACAGAGCTGAGCTCAACTATTTGCGTTAATTTCTCATCTTTGTCTCTGTCCCAGGCATTGCTCTGGCGGAGAAGAGAGGATGAACAAGTAGTAGCTGTGTAGAAGTAGAACCATGGATTGAGACAAACTTAGAGAAAAGCGAAGCGCACTAACAAGTTGCTCAGGTCAAGTCTCAAGTCTGGTTTTTTGTTTGAGCTGCTCTTCCCTCCATGTTGATTCTCTGCATTTTTAGCGGGTATTATAACATATCTCTTTATCTCTCTATTTTATTGTTGATTGGACTGTCTAGATGAGTCCGAGAACATCTCGTTCGATATCTTGTAATGTCAATTGCTTGAGGGTTCTGTAACTGCAAAGGTGTTCAAACTTCGGCTACCTAAAGTACCCCTTTTAAGACGTGTCAGTGTGTAAAAAGTTGTTGCACTTCAGTTTTTTCTTTCATGATTTAGTTTTTTCCTTTTTTTTTGTGTTTAGAAGACGGCGACAGGAACGATTTCAGTCATTATTAATGAACAAAGTCTGGGTGTCTTTTCCTTACAGTCACTTTAGCCCCCTCTCCTCATTAGCTGGTTTTGTTTGCCCTCGTTTTTCTTCTTCTTAATGTTCTCAATCATTTATTTTTCCTTCTTAATTATCAGCAACTGGTTTTCCCATTGCCATAGATTTCGGTCTTGGTATTTTATTTTTTTCTTTATGCTCTCGTAATTGTTTTTAATTTTCGAAAACAAATAAATGTCGCGTTGAAACAACACAAATTCATAAATTACATTTTAATTAATTAATTGCTTCTTGGCCACCAAAGCAAAAGACCAATAAGAAAAACAAGGACAACCCGGGGAGCCACACATCCATATACAACCATGTACATACATGTGTATTTACAGTAATCTTTCATGGTTATGGAAGGGGTATGGAGTAAGGGCATCCCTGTCTCGCCTGTGCATGTAATTGAGGTCAAATGCGTTGTCCGCATATCAACTGCACCAGAAGCAGTAGAGAGAAGCAGTGCAGTGCGCCAGTTTTTTTGGAGTAGGAGTAAGAAGGAGAGAGAGAGAGAGAGTGTGTGTAAAAGATTGGAGAGGGAGCTCAATAACCCCAAAGTCCAAGAGTTGTTGCTCGAGTTTTGTATTTTTTCGATAATTACACAACAAACAAATACACACATATACACATGTATTTATGTATGTATGCATGTATAATAAACGCATATCAATATGCAGTCTAAAACTAATGTGTACCCTACGTTACAACTATTCGATATGATTTCAAGTAAACTCTCTCTCTCTCTAAAATGTATAGGTAACAAAATGTACAAATGTCCAGAATATGCATGAACAATTCCATTAAATTACTGGATGCAAGAAACTCATTTGATTGAAGGTTAAATCAACTGAGAGAGCCCGTAACTAAATATTGAAACATTTAATTATGACTATCGATGCTTCGGCATCGATACATGGAAATATGGTGTATAGAGACCACCTGGGGAAGGGAGGGTCTAAGTAACTATTTGCACAAATGATTCTATATTGCGGCGCTGTTGTTTGACAGTGTGACCACATCTAATCACAAAAACATTCGAATAAGGTGAAACTGCATAATGAAGTGCAGTCCAATTAGATTTCCTATTAATTTGTCTACCTAGTCACTAAAGTCACTGGAGAAGAATTTTCACTGTGTATCATTGTCACCGCTTATTAAGCCCTAGATCAATAAAGTACTGAGCAAATGGTTCCCCAGTTTGTCATTCTTTATCCGACTATCCTCTGTCTATTCGAATACAACATTCTCATAGAGCATGTTCCTAAGGAATCCCCCCTAGAAAATCACTCCAGTGTGTGCTTGGTGGCATCATGAAGAGCAAACAAGTGTGTACAAACATACATATACCAAAAAATGAGAACCCAAAATGCAGACAACAAAGGAACAGAGTGGAGGGAACCCAAACGCAAACCCAAAGTCAAAGCCAACAACAACCTAGAAATGTCAATAGACGTGCAGGGCAGCGCACAAGGTAACAACAAGACGGAGACGACCGACACACTATTGGACCCATATCCAAGGCAGCGGCAACCTCTTTCCGACACAAGGAGGCCGCATCGGGACGGGATCAACTAAAATGTCTATAAAATATGTATAATGTGCGTGGCGTGTGTGTGAATTGTACTTTCCGCTTCCTTACACAAACATTTCTCGTATGTATAGTATATCTATTATGTATAGATTGGAAAACCATTTTGTGCCAAGAGGAACAAGAAGCAGACGTCTCCGCCACTATGATAAACCAACTTCTCTACGCGGCAGCAGCAGCAGCAAGCAGAAGC